CAATGCTCTCTAGAGTTCATTGACTCTCCTGGTCATTCGTGTAAAATTCACTCCTGTAGAAAGTGGAATCCCCTTGAGCTCCTTTAAGAGTTCGTTAGGTTTTACTATGCTATTTATTGAAGTCTTCATTTTTAAACCTAGGCTTTCTTACAAATACCATCTACAAATCAAAGGTTTTAGTATACATTAAGATGACTCCCACTTCTTATCGGTTAGTAATTTCTTAATTCACATTTAACAAATTGGGTTTAAACGATTAGTACTGTGTGCAAATTTGGATCATTATTTTCTTCAATAATTCAACCTGTTTTCACAAATGTAATCTACCTGGTTTCCTCGGGCTGGTGGAGTGCCTGGCAGGGTCGATCTGTCAGCCTAGCAGCAGAAACCTCCTGCACAGTTAATCGACTCTTACAAATCCATTAAAGTCACAAATGCCACAAATTATCTTAAACACTCCCGTGCTTCTTACAGTCTGAATGTCATTTTCAAATTGTTTATCTTGAAAAGCTCAGGTCAGAAACCAGCACTCATTTAAAATTGAAATCACAAGACTGTTTTTCAGATTCTCTAATATGTCATACACTCGTTTAAATGTTATAAATAGGCAGAGATTATCCCAATGATCAGAGAGCTTGCATTCTAAAGTTACGTATTAATATTACGATTTGTTTCATCATATCTCTTCATCTTTTTAAGCCCTGCCAGGGTTTCAAGTCATTATTCCCAACTAAGAGCAGTAGGCTGACCACCCAGGTGGGCCCAGGCTTATCCTGTGGTCATGTCCTCTCTGTCACACTCCAGACCATGATGCAGGGGTGGTCAGCTCAAACTCTAGAGCACTCGATCGCTCCAGAGCCATAGCTGAAAACACTAGTTCTTCCCGCTATGCCATTGGGGTCCCGCAAGCCTCTGAGCTGGAATTTCATTTCGCCACACAGTAAACACACATCCTCTCGGTTTCTTTCAAGTTTCCCTGGTAATCAGTTTTTGTAACCTCTTTCAATATTTACTGCCTGACCTGGGTCAGTAGACTTTTGTACCCTGTGCCAGGTTGTACCTAATTTCTTTTGCCACTTGATTGGACTCAACTAATACCCTTGCTGCCTGAATGGGTTTGGCATGCTTTTCATATTTTTCCCGTCTGACTCTGGGCCACAGGTCTGGAGTCGTTTCGCAAACAAATTGCAATTTCCCAATAGTTAGCGTGGGTCTATGTACCAAGTGGTTAAAAAAAAACACAACGAAGCAAACCAGTTTTGAGTAAAAGAAAGCAGCAGTGCCTTAGTTCTCACAGTTGAGTCTCCCAGGGGTGCTCTGGCTTCAGCTACAGCTGGGTGCAGGCGCCCACGCAACGTCTTTCCTCTGGACTCCGCGTCCCCTGCTAGCTGCCTGCTCAGGCAGCTGAGGGGGAAGTGACTGCTGACAGCTCTGGACTTCGATCGCACCTTTTCCTGAGTGGTGTTTCCATCCTGCTCAGCCTGTCCTGTGTGGCCATGTAAGTTTGGGAAACACTATTCTAGGCGGCATGAATGAGATCCTTGTGGGGCTTCCCAGCGCTAAGACGTGTGTGCACCTTGCGGAACTGGTTTTCCTTAGAATACATTTCGGGGCTCACTGACCTGATCCTGGTGGATCATGATGGTTTATACCCTGAGTTTGGGGGAGAAGACAAGTGGAACCTAAGTGATTTTTGTATCTAGGTTGACTTGGCAGCGTCCCCGAAGATGCAGACATGAAGGAGACATGACTGGTTCTCCGAATGCGGGGACAGCTTTGGTTTCTGGCACACAGACAGCTCGGGACACTGAAGCTGTTCTTGCTCAGCATGGGCCTCCCGTAGGGTCACTGGTTCCCCCACTCCCACTCTCCCGTGGGGCAGATCTCTGGCTTCTCCCCTCTGGGGCCGGCTCAGTTACAAGGATTTCCTGTGAACTCAGGATAAGCCTCACGCTGCTCTGGGCACTGAGGGGAGGCATCCTGTGTGTGATCAGTGCCCCGAGCCCTGCTGGAATCATAACGTGGCGTTGAAAGGCCACGGGGAAGAGCAGGTACACTTTCAAAGCAAAAAATCTGGGGTTGGATTCATGGGCATCTGTTACTTCTGTCCTTCCCCCCCAACCCCTGCCAGTCATGTGCCTCTCCCATCCGTCCTCCTCCTTCATCAGATCATAGGCAAGTTTAGCTACATCGAATTCCTCACTCTAGACAGCCAATGCCACTGAAGATTCGTGGGGTTTCCATTAATTGTGAGAGGAGATTTGAGTCCTTTTCCATCTGTTGTGTCATACTCTCCCCAGACCAGGTTGCATCAGCCGTGTGTCACCCCCTAAGGAAATTGAGGCGCAGAGTTGTGACTTGTCAAAGAATGAAGTGGAGAGGGAACTGGGCTCTGCATCCAGGGCTGGTGGTGATTTTGTGTCAGAACGTGCCCCTGTCTCTCCTCTGCACTTAAGCTCCATCAGGAGCTGTTAATAAACACTAACGCTGTGCCTGGAGAGGAAGGGGAGGTGACCCACAAAGAGAGGTTGACACTGTTGCAGCACCACCAGAGCCAGCATGCGGCAGGTTCTTGGTGAACAGCCTTTGTCGTGAAGGGCAGCGTGGTCCAGACCAGGAGGCGTGCATGTTCTGAAATTAGGCAGCCTTGCATTTTAAACCAATTCCAGTGTTGCCTGAAAAACACTGGTCAAGATACTTGTCCTTTCAGCTTTCACTTCTTCATCTGTAAAGTGGGAGGTCATAGGTGCCTTGCAGAAGTGACACGGGGACTGGGGCCATGTATAATGTGTGTGAGGTGCTCGGCACTGTGCCTGACACGTGACATGTGTTTAGCTGCTGTCACCAAGCTGCCCCTGCGCATATTTGGAAGGCAGAGCAGTCTGTCCTGTGGGGAAAAACTAGAAAATTGTATATGTGTATAGAAACAAAGCCAGTTTGTGAGACTGTGGAACTCGGGGTGCAGGGCAGGTAGGGTGGGCTCAAGGGCCGGGAACCAGGTGGAGTCCAGGCCCATGAGCGGAATCACATGAGTGCAGTTTGCTGAGACCCTGGAGCCTGGGGCCTTCTGGACCTGTGACGTCACCCACACTAAACCCCTTTCTGAGCACTCAGGCTTCCTGCCTCCACCCTCCCTACCCGGGGACCAGTCACACATTTCCCCTCATTTCTGGGGGACCTTCCAGGTGGGCTTCTGGAAGCCCAATAGCAGTGCTGAAGGGGAGGGTGATGAAAACAGCTCTCACCAAACCTTCGCCATCCCGCCTGGTCCTCAGAGCTTAGGCAGGGATCTTACAAGCTGCGGGAACAAACCAGAACTTCTTTGGAGTTGTTGCGGGGCAGGCCTCCTCCGCCACCCAGCATTTCTGAGGCATCAGGCTGCTGTCGCACAGGCAAGATGCGGGTGGAAGGCTGAGTGGAGGGGTAGAGTGGCTGAGTCAGTGCTTTGTTATCAGACAGCCCCAGGGGTAGAAGCTGGCCTCACCACTCCCGCTGTGTGACGCGGAACCTGGTGCGTGCCTGCCTCGCAAGCCGTGGCTTCCTCCTGGGAAGCGAGCCGTGCCATGTCCCCATGTGCACTGAAAGTGGACATAAGGAATGCCGTCTGGCGTCACAGAAAAGAGGGTGCCTCTGGAGTCATAATGGCTGGATCCAGATCCTGTTCTACCTCTTACTCTAGTGTCCTGGCCTTTCTAAGCCTCAGTGTCTCCACCTATACAATAGAAAAATAATAGTACCTAGCTATATTCTGTATATTAAGTACAGCAGTGTTAAACTCTTCAGCCCCATGAGTTTAAATCACCTGCTATGTACCTGCCACCCTACAGCCAAAGGAGAAAAATGCAGCAGGCTTGATAGGTGGGGGAAGGGGTGGCACTATACCTAGTGAGACCAGGGAAGAAAGCCTTTCTGAGGGGTGACACTTCAGGTGAGAAGGAGGCAGGGACAGGTGTCCAGGAAGAGGGATGACTAATGGAAGCCCTGTCAGCTTAGGAGGGACAGAAGCCCATGAGACCGGAGCCCGAGAGTGATGGAGAGGCTGGCGAGGGACGGGACTAAGGAGGGAGGTGGATCGGAGGGTCTGGAGGGCCAGAGTAAAGAGTTGGGTTTTAAGTACCCGAGAAACCACTGGAGGATACTAACAGTGGGGCAACATAGTCTGATTTATGTTTCAGATACCGTCGCTGTGGGGTGAGTGGACTGACTGACTGGTTTAGGATTGGAGCCCAGGGCCCAGCTGTCCTGTCGGCCAGCACCCAGGCAGGCTAGATAGCAGCTTGAACTGGGGGGCGGCAGGTGCACCTGGGGATACATGTTGCCAGTTGAGAGGGCGGGAGCAGGAGGTGGATTGAAGTGTCTTGGTGGTGCTGGGTGATGGTAAGAAGGAAAGAGGAGAGTCATGGCCCACAGACTTGACTTGAGGTGAGGGCAGGGGTGGATCACAGTGGATCTGAGAGTTGGGAAATGAAGCATTCTATTTTAGATGCATCCTGGGATATTAGTAGTGTCTGAGCTACTAATGGTGCTGTCAGGTCCCTGCTGCCTTTTGCAGCTTTCATCTGCTTGGCATTTCATCTGAAAGTGGAGTCCAGCGCATTCGTATTGCCCTGAGCATTCTTCCTACTTACGGCAACCCCCAAGGAGGGTGCCACTGCCGAATCTTTCTGTGCACCGCTCTCAGCTCTGATCTCCAAAGCCACTGCTCCTGCTCAGCCATAGGGCCTGGGAAGCAGCCATCGACTTCGTAAACTTCCCAGGATGAAGTTGAGGATGGGGTGGGAAATGGGTGATGTTTTTAGCCACTCAGGGAAGCACCCAGCCTTATGAGGAAGATCTGTATCAGCCGCTTGCCCCAGCCGCCAGTCCCAAACCACCAGGGTGACGCGTGGCTTTGTGCCACCGCCAGCTTCCCTCCGGGGACACTGCGCATGTGTCTGTGCCGTCAGCCTGCGCCGGCGTGGCCTGTGGTTCTGGTGCTCAGGGTGTGTTTGTCTTGGCAGCTGGGATGACAGCAGCTCCGTCAGCAGTGGCATCAGCGACACCATAGACAACCTCAGCACTGATGACATCAACACCAGCTCCTCCATCAGCTCCTATGCCAACACACCTGCCTCCTCTCGCAAAAACCTGGATGTACAGGTAAGGCACACGGTCCCTCCCAGGTTCCCCCAAAGGCCCTGCCAGCAGAGAGCCTTGGGCTGGTGGGTCCAGGGGGCCGTTCGGGATGAGCAGACTCCCCAGGTCCATGAGGGGAGGCCCAGCCTCCTGCTTGCTGCCTGTGCCTGTGTCCCCCACCCTGGCCTCTGGCTGGCGTCGGGCAGCAGGGCGCTGGAAGCGGGAGTGGGGCAGCCACACCGCCCTCCCTCTGGTGGCCTTGGTAAAGCCATGGTCCCTTCCTGGACCTCAGTTTCATACCCTGTTTTTTTAAAAACTGGGATGCTGGACTCAGCCGGCCGCTCTCAGCCAGGAGTGCGAGTCCCCTCTTTGCCGTGTGGGGCGCACCTCTGGTTCCTCGGAGCGATGGGGGGGGACCAAGATTGGGCGCCCTGGCTGGGACGGCCAGTGCATCGCGTCCTTCTGACGGCGTATTTTCATTGGCCCACGGTGTGGTTTTTCTTCTTAACTGGATTCCATGTCAAGTTTTATGAATTGTGTTATTTTACATGAAAATGAGTTTCTGGTTTCTCTTGGAAAAAAAAAACAAACCACCCAGAAGATACTGTCTCCTGGACCTCCATTCTCCAGATGGCATTGGTCAGTGATGTCCCCTTGCTGGCCCCTTCGGATGGGCCCCCAAGCCCCAGGGCGCCCAGCTGCTGTACCCCGAGAGCTTGAGTTTTCAGGGCTACTGTAAACTCCCAGGTTTTGGGAGTTTACATGATTTGAGTGTAGTGCTACGTTATATTTGCTTTCAAAGTGGTCTCGTGGGGGTCCCTTCACTGGCCCTCATGGCTTTCCTTAGTGGTCGAAGGGGAAAGTGGGTCCCCGAGTCGGGTCTGCCAGCACAAGGACTGGTCATTCGTGGCACCGCCACATGTGGGCTGCCATCTGTCTCATGATGGTCCCTCCCACCCACGGGGCCACTGCTTCAGGGGAGCCCATGGGAAGGTCTGATCTGGACAGAGTCTCCTGGGGTGCCTTTGTGTGTGGGGGTGGGGTCAGAACTGACATGGCCCCCTTCATTCACTCCCTTCCACGTACTTATTCTCCTGCTGTTTCTCACGCTGGGCAGAAGGGAACTGCTTTGGGATCTCGTTGCTTTCAAAGGTACCCTGTCTTTGAGGACAGGGCTAAAGCCAGGGTGTGTCACGGTGTGGGAGTAGTTCTGTCCCACAGAAATACATGCTGCCTGACCAGTGGAATGTTGTAGGTGTTGCCTCTGAGTTTGCCTGCCACTTCTAGGGTTTTCACTTTAGCTGGAATTTCTAATTATTGTTGGAGAGTGAGGATGGGTGGTGGTGGTGGTGGTGAAGAGGGGGAAATCTCCCCAAATGAAAGGGGCACAAAGATTTGGGCAGGGCGGCACTGATAATGTTCTACACCTTGATTTCTGCATGATAGATACGTGTGCTGAATTGGTAAAATTTATTCAAGTTGCATACTGATACGATTGTATACGTGAATGCTGTACCTCCATGTAAAGACTTATAATAAGAAAGAGAGAACCTAAGCCACACTGCCCCGGAGTGATCCCCGTTTCGTCGGTAACTAGACACACGCCAGAGACAACCAGGCTGCCTGTGTCCTTGCCACCTGCCCCGGCCGAATGTCTCAGCGTCCACCACTTCTCCTTTCCTCGTGGATGCTAATTTTTTTCCTGAGATTCATCCTAATTTTATTTCCTACCATATGTGACATAAGTAACAACTGGCTCCCACAGGTCCTTAGATTCTGAAACGGGGAACCAAGGAATTGCTCAGCTGCTGTCTAGCTGGGGGGCAGGCAGGGTATCTGAGGTCCTTGAGAGGAGAGAGGGAGGGGGCAGAGAAGAAGGGGTGCCGGAGGGGACAGGCACCAACAGATCAGTGAGTCAGTCGTTTCTCTTGCATTTCCCTGCCAGGTAGGAACAGCTTGCTCCTAAGAGGCGCGTTGAGCCAGCAGAACACAGTGCTGGAAGCATGTCCTTGTCTTTGTTCCCTTCCCGCAAAGCCAGAGCTGGAATCTGTTTTCCACATCGACACAGAATTCACATCCGGGATTTGCCACTGATTTCCTATCAGACACACTCGGGGTTGGTTCATGCCAGGCTCCCCTCCTCTTTGACTAGCTCTTTGCTTCCATCTAGCTCAGGTCACATCAGAAAAGGTCCAGGAATATGACACAGACATATCTTTTGATCACGATCAGAAAGTTAATTTCAAGGGACCTAAAGGATTTAATATTCATTGGGTTGTTTTCATAGTAAGACTGCCTGCATTTAAAATATTTAAATAAAACCTAAGTAAGTAGGTGTTGCAATAAAACACAGACTTGCACCAATAGTTGCTAAAATTCCTATTGGAGATGGTTTCTTTACGTGGATTTGTAGTGGCATTCCTTTGTTCCTGTCCAGGGAGCATCTCCAAATATTTGAATCTGTGCAAATGGCAGCCCCCCGCTCCCTGGCTCCCCTGTACCACTCGGAGGAGCGCTAAGGGCCATTACTCCTCTCCGATCAGCATCAGCATCAGTCAGTGGGAAGACGTGTGCTGCCGCCCTCCCCCAGGGCTCACTCGGGTTTCGTCACGCACTGGCTTCTCCTGGGCGGACGGGCAGCACACACTGTCCCAGACAGGTCACGGAGAGGCAGGAAGAAGCGGCTCAGCATGTCACTGAGAAAACAGGTTGAAGACAGGTCACCTGCCTAGGTTTTCATATTTGAAAAGCCTCTGGGGAATAGCCAAAAGGAAGTGCATCTAAGGAACAAGGAAGGTATGGTCTGGAGAGCCGAAGGAGTAGCCTCCGTCAGCTGATGGAAAGAGGAGGAGGCACATCACAGAGGAGCGAGCGATCCTTGGGGGGATGGAAGTGCCCCGTCCGTAAGTGGCCGTCCCCTTTGCGGACGTCAAGGAGCATGGTGTGCCCTCGTTGAGGCACACGTCCCCGGGTTCAGCATCGGGCAGCCGTGCCGACTGCTTCCCCACGTGGGGGGCAGGGTCTCCCCTGCTTGAGGCGTGGCAGCCTCCTGGCTGACTTTCCCCGGGGGAGCTGGTGAGCCCAGGTGGGCAGCCAGACCAGGTCGCCCCATCAGGTCCAAGGGGTGGCCTTTGAGGTCAGGGCTGAGCCCCCCACTCTGACCTCCTTGGGTAAGCTAATCACCCCTGCAAGCCTCTGTCGCCTCGCCCATAAAATTATGGCAACGAGATTAATCTTGAAGGGTGAGTGTGGGGGTGCCTGAGAATACGTTATCTAAACGCTGTCTCTCGGTGCCCTGTTCTTGGCAGTTGCTCAGGAGTGACCATGTTTAGTTCCTGATTTCCTCTGGATTACCATCCCTCTGCCTCCCTCCTCCCTCCTCCATTCACGTCAGCAGTTAAAGCTGACTGTGTTCTTAATCCATTTTGTTGGTCATTTCAAAGCAACTCGCCTTATATCTTGAAGCATTTTCTCTTGAGGACAGTGTTGGTGGTGGCAGGAGAGTTTAACAAACACACATCTCTGCCCCACACAGCCATCTCCCCACTGTGTCCTTGGTCATTTTGCATTTCCTCTCAGGTCTCTGGAAGGTTCCATTCCAGGTGCTGAGCTGCAGAGAGGTACAATTCAAGATTTTTCTTACTTTTCACAGCCTGTGAAATTTTTAGCAAAATATACAGAGTGGGGGAAGGTAGATAATGCCAGGTGCATTTATTCTTTGCTTCTCAAGGAAATAAAAACCTGAATTCTCTGGCAGAGATTCCTGACCTGTGCAGCCATGAGAGAGCCCGGGGCTCTCTGGGCGTTCCCTGGATATTGGTCGGGATGAAGGGATGGGGTTGGGGGGTGGGGGGCGGCTGGGAGGGCACTGCTTCTGCCCATCTGTTTGGTTGTTGCTGTTGTGACTTGAGGCAAGTTACTTTCGCTCTTTACACCTGGTCTGTGAAATATGGCTGATGCAGGCTCAGCAGACTGAGTGGGCTAATGATGGATGTGGAGGGACACAGTGCCTGGCAAGAAGAGCGGCAGGTGATGGTGATGATGCTGGTCATTTTTCTGCTGTGACTGGGGCCCAGACTCCAGCCAGTTCAGCCTCTGGATCTGCAGGGGATGTGGGCATGAAGAGGGCATGTCCCTGACTTCTAGAAGCTTGTGGCCCAATAGCAGGAAAGACAAGTGCCCTTTTTACACCCAATGCAAGACAAAAATGGGATAAATGCTAAGGTGCTGGGGGTTTTCAGAGTCAAGAGGGCTTTTGAGTCCCTCCACACTTAGCTCATTGAGTCTCCTCTCAGCTAGCTCTCTAGGACACCCACCTGTTATCGCCCCCCTTTTGTATACAAGGTAATGATCTCAGCAAAGCGAAGCCACCCCTCCAGGGTCACACTCACAGCAGAGGAGGGGCAGCACCCAGGACTTGAACTCCAAGTCTGCCAGACTCCAAGCCCATGTCCCCCGCCCCCATCATGCCAGGCCCCCCCCCCCACCGCACTGCTCAGCGCTGCCCCCCCCCCCCACCTTGGTTCCAGCCTGTCATTCTCAGAGGACTGGCCTCTCTGTGGTCCCTGAGGAACCGGGGCCCTCGCTCATGACCTCTCCCATCTCCCAGGCCCACTCCCTCTCCTGCCTGGCTGTTCCCCCACCTCCCTCTGGGACGTTGAGTGAGGAAATGGACTTCCAGGTAGGGGAAATAGGAACATCCTTTCAAAAGGAGGCGCCTTATGAGAGGGGAACAGCTGACAGAGGCATGGAGGGCCAAGGGGAGGGCACAGCTCTGTGCAGCCCCGTGTGGCCATCCTGCTGGCCTTGGGTTGTAAGCCCTGGGAGCAGAGGCAGGGACATTTTCACCTGTTGATCCCTCATGCTGTCACCATACGATCTGGCGCACGGCTCCAGGAGGGTTTGCTAAGGAGATAGGCACTCAAAGCCGGTGATGTCCCAGGCAGGTGCCCACTGTGCAGAGCAGTGCAGGGATGGCTGCCGCCCTGGATCAAGTTGTGGGGGTGTGACGGCAGGGTTTTTGTTCTCTCCAGAGCGGGGGTCAAGCCACAGTCCTGAGCCAGGGCCATGTGGCTCTCTCTCTGCCACAGGTGGAGTCGGAGCTCTGGGGGTCCTGCCCAGAGGCTAGGCTGGCGCTGCTGTGGGGTTGGAATTGGGGAACAGCCAGCCAGCCTGTATGGAAAGAGCATCTGCTGGGTGTTGGGATCGTGTTAGGAGCCACTGGACAAGCAGAAATGTCTCTTGTTCTTGGGCTTATTCCCAGGAAGGTGGAGTCATAAAGCGGATACAGTGCGGGTCCCCAGAACCCTTGCATCCCCACTGCCTCACTGTGCGATCTTGGACACTTTTCTTGTCCACTGTGTGCCTCAGTTTTCTCATGTAAAACTGGGACAATGAACTGTAACTTCCTCACAGAGGATTAAATTACGTGATACAGGCAAAGCACTTTAGCCCGGTGCCTCACACACGGTGCTTAGTAAATGTTATTGTTACTGTCACTGCTGTCAGCACAGCTGCAATTTGACTGAGGGGAATGAGGTACAGGAATGAGTATTAAAAGAACGGATGCAATAATCCAGGATGTGGTGCGCTAAGTTTTCAGTGCGTCTTAGAGTGTATTCGAACGTGTTAAAATGTACTTGGACAAGATATTAATGATTTGTACTTGTTCATTGTAGTGTTCCCAGTGCCCCCGAGCTTGCCTGGCAGATGGTGGCCGCTGGTGGATATTTGCTGGGTGATTGCTTCCAAAGCCACATCCTTTCCCGTCTCAGGCCCTGGCGCACGCCCTTCTCTTGCTAAGTTTCTTCTCATTCTTTAGAGCACTTCTTCAAAAAGGTCTTACCTCACTCATGGTCCCCAGCCCCATTATCATAATCTAAAGTACATCAGTGCCTATATTTCTCCCTCAGACTCCTTGTCCTTTTCCTTACAACACCCCTTATAATTCACAGTTACTTATTTGTATTTATTTACCCCATCTCTGCCTCTTTCACTGGATCGTAAATTCCAGGAGTGGTGGGAACCAGTCTTACCCACAGTTCCCCAGACTCCCCATGGTGCCTGGCAAACAGTGGGCACAGAGGAAATCTTGCCCCGAGCAGGAATCGAACCAGCAGCCTCTCGCTTTGTGGGACGACACTCAACCAAGTGCAGCACACTGGTCAGGGCGGGAGTGGGTAACTTCGTTTCCTCTCATCTGTAAAACTGAGGTGAAGACAGTACCGCTTCCCTGCTTGCCCTGTGTAACCAGGTGGTCAGACGGCCGGGGTCAGATGGCATCACTTTGTTAAAGTGAGCTCTAGCTGGACAAGCGTGTGTTCGTTTTTTCACTCATTCACTCGCCAAGGCTTGAGGGAGCCCATGCCCTGTGCTCAGACGTGGGAAGTCCTCTTTCTGTGTCCCCGCTGCCGCTGAGCAATGAGCTTCCACGGTTGCGGGGTGCTTTTGTCTCGTCATGTCTCTGGTGCGTAGTACCTAGCAGGAGCTCAGCGTGTGTCTGAGGAATGACTCAACAGGGAAGATACTCGTAAGCTGGCTCTCATGGGTGAGGGGAATTCTTAAGGGGGGGAGGGGAGACCCAAAGAGTCCATGGTGGTGATAGAGGAACAACTGAACTTGGGCTGCTTGTCTGTGTTTGGGTTTGATCCCACTCAGCCGGTGTATTTCGTGGAGGAAGGTGTTTGTTCTACTCTTGGGGGACGGGCATTAGGCCGGATTCTGGCCAGGTGATCGTCTTGATTTCCTGTCCTGCCAAGGATGCCCACTGTAGGGAGTTACATACAGCAAGTAAGGGACGTGCGTCTTAGTACAGCCACTCTGAAGTGTTGCTGACCTCCCTTCCCCATTTTCTGCATGGCTTCTCCCGACTGGCATCTCCTCGGGCTGCCCCCCCTTAGGGAGGCCCCTGAAGCATTCTGGTTAGCTTCTGCCTTTTCACTGCAGCAAATCATTAACACCACACTTCTGTCCCCTCCTGGGTTCCATGGCCAGCAGGTCAAGGCTCTTCCAAAGAAAGCTGGCTAATTATACGCCTCGTCTGAACAGAATCCCACAAGAGGAGCAAAGCAGTGTGGCATATGCACAGTGCTGGGGTAGGAGCAGGCACCCGCTGGCTTTTAGCTTTGGGGGGAAGTGGCTTTTGAGGGTGTGTGTTCCTCTCAGCCCCTCTCCCTCCCTGAGAGTGGAACTAGCAGCCGCCCCCACTTGCTCGCTCACTGGCTCCGAGTGTTAGACTGTGACGCTGCACTGGAGCCTGGGATCTCACTGCCAGTGGAGTGATAGGGAGACGGAAGAACAAAGGGAGACGGGCAGGAGGCTGGATGCTGGCTGGAGCTCAGGCTGCCTGAGTTAGAGGGGGTTTCTCGCCAAGTGGCAGAGAGTTGGTGGCTGAATTCTCGCCACATCTCCCATCTGCTCATAGTTCTCTGTGGGGCTCCTTCCCTCTTTCCCTCTGGCCCCTTTCACTCTCCTCCCTCACTCCTCTCAAGGACATAGTTGTATTCTTTACTTTCCTTGGACCGAAAAAAAAATCAGGCCTTCTAATAAGATAACCACAGTACAAAGGCCCAAACATTTTTAAGTTGTTAGTTATTATTTTTCTTTTACTTCACCCAGTGTATTGGCATTTTTGCTTGGTGGTGAGGGTCTCTCCACCCCGGGGTCTGGGAGAGACTAATTCGGAGTCTCACCCGCAGACCGACGCGGAGAAGCACTCGCAGGTGGAGAGGAGCTCCCTCTGGTCGGGTGACGATGTCAAGAAGTCCGACGGAGGGTCAGACAGCGGCGTGAAGATGGAGCCGGGCTCCAAGTGGCGGCGGAATCCCTCGGACATGTCTGATGAGTCCGACAAAAGCACGTCGGGCAAGAAGAACCCCGTCATCTCCCAGACAGGCTCGTGGCGGCGCGGCATGACGGCCCAGGTGGGCATCACCGTGCCCAGGACGAAGCCGGCTGCCTCGGCGGGCGCGCTGAAGACCCCAGGATCAGGTGAGTGAGAGGCATCGCCGTCTTTCATCCACAGGTGTCAGTTTCCAGACCCAGACCATAGTCACTCTAACTCTAGCAAGGAATTGTTCTTTGTTTCTTTGTTTTTTAAGTCCTGTAAATGCTCAGGTGTTTGTTCTTGGGGTGTAGACTCTGCTAATAACCAGCTCTCAGGAAAGTTCACATCTCTTCCTTTTTCCAAGTGGAAAAATGTGTGGAAGGTTTTAAAGTCTGAAGGCAGTCCACTGCTGAGGCCGTGTTAAACTGGTGGACATGTGCTGGGTCAGAGCGCACATGTGAGGGCCTGTGTTTATAAGCTGTTGGCATGCTGTGTTGATGTTTCCGTGATTCAGGGGTGTGTGTAAACGGGAACTGTTTTTGCAGGAAGTCAATGGTCCCTCCTATGGAAGTTAGGAACATCTCTTCAATGGACGGAGGGAGAAAGTTCAGTGAGAGCCAGGCCTCTTCCCCAGACATGTCAGTGATTGGCTGGCTTTGCTCTGTGCTGGGTAAATTTAGACTGCTTTGCAAATGAGTAACATCATTGACATCTAAAAGGCTCACGGTGACAGTAGTAGACTAGATTGCCTTTATGAAAAGCTCTTTCCTCTGCCTCCCAAGGGTCCTGCTCTCCCCAAGGAGAACGTGAACCAGTTCTTTGGAGGAGGGGAGGATTTTAAACAGACTAAACTGGATGAGCCGGCTTCTTGGTGTGCAGGTTAACCCTGCCGATTTCTCTCCTAGGAAAAACCGACGATGCAAAAGTGTCCGAGAAAGGAAGGCTGTCCCCCAAAGCCTCGCAGGTGAAGCGCTCCCCATCAGATGCAGGCCGCAGCAGCGGTGACGAGTCCAAGAAGCCCCTCCCCAGCAGCTCCCGGACGCCCACCGCCAACGCCAACAGCTTTGGGTTCAAGAAGCAGAGTGGCTCGGCTGCCGGCCTGGCCATGATCACAGCCAGTGGGGCCACTGTCACCAGCAGGTCAGCCACACTGGGCAAAATCCCGAAGTCGTCTGCGCTCGTCGGACGGTCCACTGGTCGGAAGACCAGCATGGACGGGGCTCAGAATCAGGACGATGCGTATCTGTCTCTGAGCTCCCGGACAAACCTGCAGTACCGGAGTCTGCCGCGGCCCAGTAAGTCCACCAGCCGGAACGGGGCCGGGAACCGGTCGAGCACGAGCAGCATAGACTCCAACATCAGCAGCAAGTCGGCAGGCCTGCCGGTGCCCAGGCTGAGGGAGCCCTCCAAAGCGGCCCTTGGGAGCTCTCTGCCGGGCCTGGCCAACCAGACGGATAAGGAGAAAGGCATCTCCTCGGACAACGAGAGCGTGGCTTCCTGTAACTCCGTGAAGGTGAACCCGGCAGCCCCCCCGCCTGTGTCCAGTGCGGCTCAGGCCACTCTCCAGCCAGGGGCCAAGTACCCTGATGTGGCCTCTCCCACACTCCGCAGGTGAGTGGGTAGATGGCACTGAGCAGAACCGGAATATAGGGAATGGTGTCCTGGATTTTTAATAATTTCCTGTTTCTTAGTTAAAGCAGTCTCTGTATCTTCCTTGTCAGTCCTAGGATAAAGCTGTTTGGTCAGAGGCTGCCAGCAATGTTGCTGTCACCTGATTATTTTTCCATGTTAGAATGAAAATCTTTTTTTAAAGATTTTATTTATTTATTTTTAGAGAGGAAAGGGAGGGAGGGAGGGAGAGAGAGAGAGAGAGAAACCGAGAAACATCAATGTGCAGTTGCTGGGGGCCATGGCCTGCAACCCAGGCATGTGCCCTGACTGGGAATTGAACCTGCGACACTTTGGTTCACAGCCCGAGCTCAATCCACTGAGCTATGCCAGCCAGGACTAGAATGGAAATCTTAAATTAAGCCTCTGTAATCGATCATCCTGAGTTCAAAGCTTGGGTTCACCTTAATTAGCCACCATGTAAACTTTCTTAGCAGCATGTCTCTGTTTTCTCATCTGTAAAATGGGGGCACTGATACCTACCTGAGAGTTCTTATGAAGATTCATCTATGTAGCCATATCTGGCCCATAGTAAGTAGTGAATAAGAGTTAGCTACCATCCAGATCTGCACAGGTAACTCAGGGGATGCAGACAGTTTTTTTCTTGTCTTGTTAATTCAATGACTGCAATTCCTCCTCATCATGCTAGACAGTGATCTTGGCCAGATCCTTTTCTCAAATAGTCCAGTGTTCTCCACATACTTATTTATAACCACATGCATAATTCCAAATTAGTTTCTGAAATTTTAGCTTCCTGGAAAAAAAAAAGCCTCTTAAAGCAGAAGTGTTTCTGAAAAAGAGAAATGGATTTCCTATTACCTTAAAAAAAGCATTTTCTCACATTTCCACACAGGGTGGGAATTTTCACATGAAAGTATTATTTGCTATTTTTTCTTCAACTTTGTTTTAAATTTCTACAGCTTTTGCCTGTTCATAGTATCTCATTATAATCTCCATATCCACTGGACCATCCTCAGACTCCATGTGCATGGGGCAGGACTTAGTCTCGCTTCTCAGGAGATTTCTTGTCGTAGGAAAGAGTAAGTCCAAGGGCAGCAAACCATGCAGTGAAAAAAATAAAAACCGTGCGCGCATGTACATATTTGGGAATGAATCGGAATGTTTGAAGAGGCTTCAGAAGAAGCATTCCACATGAAAGGTATAATGAAGCAGTTCGCTGTTCTTTGTCTAGACTTGATTATTAGAATTTCAGTAATAATTACTTTTTCTGGGGAAGGTCCTATCGGGCTGTTCTTTGTTGTTGTACCAGATTGCCTTGTAAATGAAAATTTTCTCTGCTTCTTGCCTCAAGTATTACCTGTAATATTCACTCTTTGGTATTATGAATTTCCTTCAGCAACTACAAAGACATTTTATTAGACCTTTAGGCTAGTGTACTAGAATACTAGAAAATGCACGCATTTTCTTAGGTTCCGCACTGAACACCTTTCGGCCAATTCCTGACAATTGCATTTTTACTAAATGGTTAAGGCATTTTTATTGTGCCTTAGTATGGAGAAGATAGATCTCGGGTGAAGTGAGGTAACTCTCTTCAACAAAAAGGTCGGGTGTTCTCTGTGTCTTTACACATAGCAGGATTAGGAGCAATGAGTAAAAGTGAAGAAGGCAGATCAGATTTTGGTTTTCTAATTGACAGTTCTAGACACTGGGGTGAGTTACCCCTTAAAGTAGTGGGGTCCCCATTACTGGAAGAGTGTAAGCATTCTCAAGCCAAAATTTAGTAATCGGATGTTTCATTCTCTGATGGTCACCAGGCGAAAGTGTTTTTCATCTGTCTCCAGATATTGTAGTGAGGATTGGTTACATGGTCAGTCGGTTGGTTGTCTTTACAATGATTAAGATTTGTAAGGACTGTTTGGAGAAGACAGGTCAAACTCACGCCACTGAGCAGCGTGGGGAAGGGCCTGTCGGTGTTGTTGCCACTGTGCAGAGATACCTGTCCCCCCAGAGTTTCAGTGAGCGGAATCACTCGCCTTGCTTGGAGCAGGTATTGCTCCCTGACTATAAGATGGCCCTGCCGCTCACCAGGCGCCCTTCTGCCAGTGGAGGAGGGACACGTTTCCTGTGTTCCGACGGCACGTTTCTGGTCATGAGTGGGGTGGGGGGAGCTGGTGACATGGAATGGCATTTCTGTGTCTCTGAGACAGACACACAGTTCACACCGCATGTCTGGTCTAATGTCTTGGGAGCTCAGTAAGGTTTCCGTGTGCATCAGTGGGTAGTACTAGCACTCCGGCCGCAAAGACACACCTTCCGGGTAGGGCTTTCACCGGAGATGTCTGTGGAGATACTCTCCCCAGGCCTCATCCAGGTCCACGCTCAGGTTCTCGATCCTGCATGGGCTCAGAGATCAATCAGCCCACTGCCCGGGGTCGAACTGACACAAACCAAGCGCCTACATTGTGCCTGGGGTCACGGATACAGAGATGATGCAGGCAGCTCTTTTCCTTGTAGATGTTTCCTGGGCCAAGGCAATTTTCTGTTTATTCTGTTTACTCTGTTCATGGAAAGAAAGGGAAGCAGGATCTTGGACCAGCATGAACAGTCCTGTAGAAAATTATTCCCTATGGCCCTTTGGCTCAGACAGAGCCAGGGTCTCAGCTGCACCGTACGTACACTGGAAACTGGAACATGTCATTCACGAGTGTCCCGGTGGCCTGTCCCAATGGGATCCCCGTAGCCATTTCCGTTGAAACAACTATGCCTCCCCCCAGGGACTCCCATGGCTCCTGGACCTGAGCCACATTGACTAAACAGCTGGGAGCCCCTCGGCTCTGGGTGTCCAACCCAAACAACCCTTTGTCTCTTCACAGACTCTTTGGTGGGAAGCCTAGCAAGCAAGTGCCCATCGCCACAGCTGAAAACATGAAAAACTCGGTGGTCATCTCCAACCCTCATGCCACCTTGACCCAGCCAGGTAACTTAGAGTCCCCCTCAGGCAGCGGCGCCCTGAGCAGCGGGAGCAGCAGTCCTCTCTACAGTAAGAATGTGGATCTCAACCCGTCTCCTCTAGCTTCCAGCCCCAGCTCAGCGCACTCGGGCCCCTCCAACAGCCTCACCTGGGGCACCAATGCCAGCAGCTCCTCAGCAGTTAGCAAGGACGGCCTGGGCTTCCAGTCCGTCAGCAGCCTGCATACCAGCTGCGAGTCCATTGACATCTCCCTCAGCAGCGGAGGGGGCCTGAGTCACAATTCCTCCACGGGCCTCATCGCCTCCTCTAAGGACGACTCCCTGACTCCCTTTGTGAGAACCAACAGTGTGAAGACCACACTGTCAGAAAGGTTGGTGACATGCGTTTGGCTGCCTGTCTCTCTCAGAAAGACACCCTTTCAAGAGGCAAAGGATTGTGTCAGGAATCCCACAGGTTAATTGCCCTAGCTTGGGAGAGTTCTCTCTTTCTGGCCACCGATGGCTTCCATAGGAAAGCCAGTGCAGGGTGGGATTCAGCTCAGCGCTGCTCCCTGTTACCTTTTTCATTGTGGTTATTCTCAGGGCTTGGAGCTGCTGGAAGTCTCCTGGGGGTAGATTTAATGCATCCATTTGAAATGGCATTCCATCTTTGAAATCCTTCCATTTTACTCTGTTTGTTCATCAGCTGGCTTCTTCCCCCTCCCCTTGTAATTGTGCAGGCAGAGTGGGTGGCCGGCTGCAGCCCTGGGGTGTATGTTAGGACGTTCCTTAGGCAGCAGGGTCAGTTTGGTGGCCGTCATGGCAAACACCCTCCCATTGAAGGGCTGCTGGCCAGTGACAGGAAATCAAGAAACCTAAAGCATCCCCAGAGCTCTGGATTTCACTTTAGTGGTGAAGTGTCCATTGTCTCCCTGATGGAAAAAGAAGCAAGTCAGGGTCAGCCCTGGGAATGAGAAAAGTCACTGTATTTTACAACTCCCCCTCTTTCTTCCCGTCTAATGTTCCTTCTCTTGTTTTCTACCTGCCTGGACTTCTAGCCCTCTCTCTTCCCCTGCCGCTAGCCCTAAGTTCTGCAGAAGTACTTTGCCCAGGAAACAGGACAGGTAATGACATTGTAGGCCGGAGACCCCACCGAGCCTTCTAGGTTCCTCTGCCCGTCTGTGTCAAGCCAGATGTCTTGTGTGAGGCTGTCGGCCCAAGGCTTCCGCTTGTGTTCGTGGCTCTGGTGTAGTATGCGACCCCCAGACATGCCAGTGAGGGTCTGTTCCGCTGTCCACTGAAGCCCCTGGAGAGGTGGGGTTGGGCTGGCCCCTCTCTTCCCTACTTGGGAAGGAACCTCAAACCTGCCACTTGAACTGGGGGCGGAGAAGCTCTCACTTGCATCTCAGTGTTCCTGTGGCATGCTCCTGCTTCCCACCCTTTCCCCCTTCTCCCTCCCCTCCTACTCCAAGCCCAGAGATGATCTACCACCCACCGAGCAGCTTGGCCCTCACCTTTGTCTCCCACCCCCTCCACTCCCCACGCAGCTGGCTCTTCTCCCTTTAAAGTCCTTCGCTGCAATTTGGCTCCTTCTGTTTTGTAGGCTGCTGTGTTCTGTGTGCCCATTTCCTGTAGTGATAATGAGAAAGAGTATGTGGAGCGTTGAGACTTTATAAAGGAAGAGGCTTGTTTGCCCCCAGCTGTCCTGTGGGTGGGCCTCAGAAATGGATATTGACCTTAAATTTGTGGGGGAGCCGTGGCTTGGCCAAACATAACAAGCAGATGTTGTTTCATGATAGAAAAAAAAAATTAATGAAAGCCCTCTTCACCCCATCAACAGCAAAATCTTTGTTTTTGTCAGACTCACAGACCAAGCCTTTAAACCCTTGTTCTTTGGAAACCCAAATGCCTTGACTTTATCAGCCCGCAAGTTGTAACATGCCCCGACTCCGGCCCAGGGCTCAGCTCTTAGCTACATCCAATGAGGGCTGCAGAAACTGAGAGGGACCTGGAATTCACTTGTGAATTCCAAATATGCAGACTGCAGGCCTCTTAAAACTCTCCAGCAAGTCCCTTGTCTCACTTGAAGTCACCGCCCGTGGCACTGAGGTGGCCCAGAGCAGGTAGTGCAGAGGAGGTGGCATCTCTCTCTCCAAGAAGCAGTGGTGACGGTGCAGAGATGGGCGACTGGGCGGTGGAAGGCACGGGCTCTGCCTCAAGGTGCGGCAGCCCCCGAGTTTGGTTTCGAACCTGCGGGGCAGAGTGGCTCAGGCCTCCCGGTGGCTCAGGGTGGAGCTTGCGCTGGTGGCAGTGCGGGCCAAGGGCTGGGTTTCTCCAGCTTCCCTGGAACAGGCTGCGTGCTCCGCTGGGCACGGGGCCTTCCTGGCCAAGTGAGTCTCTCTCCCCAGCTCTCTCCAGCCCCGTCTTAGCCTGTCCCACCTCACATCGCCTGCTCTCTCTGTGCTTCTCTGAAGTTCTCACTTTTGTTTTAACTTCCCTACAGTGACCCGCACCTTGATAGGAACACTTTGCCTAAGAAAGGACTCAGGTATCTGTGTTTCCTCCTTGCATCCATGCCATGTGCTGTGGCTTTGGGGCTTGGCTGGCGGGGGTTCGGGCTGGGCTGGGTTCCCCGCTTTGGCCACCGCAGTAAGACCTTGGACGACCGCTCCCCTGTCACCCGCTCATTCTCATCTCTCCATTTGTTGGCTTATGTGCTTGAGCAGAGGCTGTGCTTTTTCAGGCTTATCGTGGTAAAACCATGTCATGCACCACTGAGGCCAGTGGATTTCGTCACTGAGCACGTCGCCACGACCATTCTGTTCACGGGCTGGCTTCCCAGAGGAAGGGCGTGACTTATAGCATGTTGGTTTGTGAGCCAGGACAGGGCCATGGAGGAGGGAAACATCACCGCCAAATTTGAAAATACGTAACTCTCGGCCCATAGAAAATTGCTAAGGACAGATACTTAGCACTCATCAAAATAATAATCAAAATCAAATCAACCCAGCAAGATATGGGCATAATCCGTTTTTGGCGGAAAGAGAAGATGATGAGGAAGTGATGTCCTTCCACCCGTTGTAAGTCACGACCCGGGCTCATTCTGGGTGCCGGTCCTGGTGGAACAAGATGCTGTAAGTCACCGCGCCTCCCACCACCTACTTCACGTGGCCAATCAGAGGAACCTCGGTTCCAGCGCCTGCCCCATGGTTTCAGTGTCATGTGGTCGCAGCTGTCATTTGCCCCTCTCCCTGAACACCTCCTCCTCTGTGGCATCAGCTTCCCCTTGCACTAAGCATTATGTGCTTTGCAAAGAACGGAACTCGGAATGAAATGTTTCAACACTGTCATGCGTGTCTCTAGTGGATAGCCTGTAGCTCGTAAGGCTGAGAGCATTTTGAACAGTCACGTGAGGTAGGTATCACTGCTTTCTTTCCAAAGAAGCTCCAAGGAAAGCCAATTCTAAGATTCTAAACATAATAGTATTCAAAAATCTCCCCAGGGTGGCCTTAGAAGGGGGAGCTGGCAAGGCCTTTTGTACTGAACAGTGTGCATCACACCGAGGGGGGCTGATCATTAGCGACTGGGCTAGATGTGTACATTTCAGCCACTGCTAATGAGCGGGACTGGCTGCCCCACCGTTGTCCCAAGAGGAAGCTAACCTCTCTAAATATTAACATTTCAAAATGCTGCGTATCTATTTCTGGAGCAGATCTATCCTGTGAAAATGATGGAGCTCTGGCTTTTTAAATTGGCTTTTAAAAAATTCAGCAAAGGGACATGTGACAAGCTGTCTTCAGGCAACCGGTATGACCTAGAAAGTTACATGTCCACCTAGAGTGGAAACAGGAAGGCAGGCACGTTCTCCTGTTCCTTCTCGCCCTGACTTTCCCTTTCCAGTTCCCTCCCTCGGCTCAGAGTCCAACAGCAACACACCCACAGCAGCTTTTTTTAAGCCAGAAGAATCCCACTGTTGACGTAATCACCAGCCACCGTATGGTAATCTGTTTGTTAGTCTAAGGCTTCTCTGGCCACTTAGACGACGTAGAAATTTGAGAAGCTGCCTGTGGGCATCACGAGAAGAACTCGGACTTTGAAATCACACAAAATAGGTAGAAACCTTAGCACGTGACTCAAGATAACATCTATGAAGGCACTTCCTTAGCTCATTGGAGACATTCGATAATCATTTCCAAACACACTGCAGAGTAAATGAAGAGGGGCACCGACCTCCAAAGAGCCTGGCCTGTGTGAAAGCCGATGATTTAGGGCTCCTTGTATGCAGGCTTGCCTGAGCTAGATCTCGGCAACTGCTGTGAGCATCACTGTCCTCACACCTTTTCGTGTCTGGTTTCTGATACGCTATGGTTCCTGGCCACCTGCGTGTGCTCTAGAATGCAGGTGCCCTGAGTTATCTAATTAAAACGTCCTCAGAGCTGCAACAGCAGCTTATTTGGCTGCTTTGGTCCCGTCGGGGGCAGGGGGGCGGGGAGGCTTTGACACGATGCTGTCATGCATCGACATGTTACAAGTACGCTCTGTGACAGCTCTTCTTGAGTGTTCACCAACCTTGCTCTCTTTGTGTATTCCCTCCAAACTGCAAGGAATTCCAATTTTCCCCAAAGGCGGCCAAGTAGCAAAAAAAAAAAAAAAAAAAATGTTTTGAGAAGCTTCTTAAGTTTCGGGATGTGTAGTGATCTGATTTCTTTTTTAACATCAACTTTGGCTATCTGATCGTTGTCAGCTTCACGGAGTTCATTTTCATAAGTGCTGATCATAGTTAATCCCAGCTTGATTTCTGTCTGCCCAGGTATGCTCCCACCTCCCAGCTCCGCACACAAGAAGACGCAAAGGAATGGTTGCGGTCCCACTCTGCAGGGGGTCTGCAGGACACCGCTGCCAACTCCCCCTTTTCTTCCGGCTCCAGTGGAACTTCTCCCTCCGGAACAAGGTTCAACTTTTCTCAGCTTGGTGAGTGGCTGCTGGTCGGTGGCTGTGCTGACCAGCTCCCTAGGGCAGAGGCGAGCTTGCATTTGAAAGAGACAGGTTGGTCGCAGACTCTCAGTATCTGATCAGCCTTCCACAATGTAGTTGGATTAGAGGAGATGGATAGCAAAAGAGCTGGAGAAAATGGGAAAGGTTTTGGTATTCTAATCAATCATTTTTCTTCCTGTGGCTGATAGAGGTAGGGCTATATAGCAAGGAGCTAACCATCCCATTCTTTATTTCTAAGACCTGAAGAAGTAGGTATTATGGCATATACCATGTTTGGTCATCCTCATTGCTTTATTAAGCTAGAAATAAAAATCAGGTTTTGATTGAACAAGTATTCTTGGAAGTGCCTACTGCTGACATAATGCTTGGATTGGCACAGGGGAAAGGGAAGGAATTTGTAACACGCTCCCTGCTGATAGGTCAGTGGATTCTTTTTTAATGCAGCAAACACACTCAGGCAGACTCGTAAATAGGATCAAGGAGAAGAGGCCAAAGCGTTATAGGAAGCTGTGTAGAAACTGAAGTATTATGTACAGTTAGAAAAAGGAAAGCTTAGCCCTGCCTGGAATTACAGGAGAAGGTGACAAGAAGGTAGCAGGGTGGGAGCTGAGCCTTGGGAGACTGATAGAGGCAGGTAAGAGCTTCTCCAGTCTTGTCTCCATTCTTGAGAGAGAGCAGCAGCCCTTCCTGAGTGTTGTGGATAATAAACTCAGAGTCTTTATTTAAGGACAGGTGTGGCTTGTAATCAAGTATGACTTAACTCTTCCTTTTGGGTTAACTGCAGGGATACTTCTGAAACAGTGCACATTGCTAATGACAGGATTTTAATAAGAAAGCTAGTTTCGGCTACAGTAAATGTGCCTCCTTTGCACCGTAGCTCTTGAGGCACCGGTATTCGGCGTTCCCCATCCGAGGCAACGAGACCTGTGTGCATGTTGTTCTTTCCCAGCCATAACTCTTTGAGGCAGGAGTTTCTTGTCATGCACAAATGCTTCCCATCTGATCAAAAGCCCGGTGGGACTATTTTGGGCTTTTGGCTTTAGAGGGAATTGTTCCAGATGAGCCCAGGGAGTAATTAGCTCATGCCTGGAAGGTGACACTAGCTTGTCTGAACGTGCCAAGTTGGAAAGCTGAGGCCCAGAGCCTCAGCTTTGGAACTGACCCACCTTTCCTCCCTTATTTTTAGCTCTCAGTGTGTAACTCAAATGCTGATGTGACTACCTTTTGGAAAATAGACGAGGGAGAGGAGTTGGCAGGGACGGATATGGCTGATAATAAGCAGTCTCCTCTTCGCCCCAGTCCAGGATTCAAACAGAGACGTGACTTTGCAGCCTTTTGATTCCATCATCCCTTTCGTTCCAGCGAGCCCCACCACCGTCACGCAGATGAGCTTGTCCAACCCGACCATGCTGAGGACCCACAGCCTCTCCAATGCCGACGGGCAGTATGACCCGTACACCGACAGCCGCTTCCGGAACAGCTCCATGTCCCTGGATGAGAAGAGCAGGACCATGAGCCGCTCGGGCTCGTTCCGGGATGGGTTTGAAGAAGGTAAGCAAGGAGACTGGTCCTCTCCCAGGCCAGCGGTTGTAGTTCATGCTCTTCTGTGCCAAGGTCACTTCACTGAGCTAGAGTCTACCTGAAAGTGCTTCCAACTCTCCCACGGACTCTGGGGGTCGGACTGGGGAACTAAATAGTAGGGTCTGGGTCTTGGTAAACCTCGCAGGACTCTAGGGAAGAGGCTGCTGAAAAAAACCTCTGGCGACCCTCTGAGCTGGCTGAGTTGCGCTCTAGGCTTCTCTGCCTTGGACGTGGGCCGGAGCTTCTTGGCACACGCCTCCATCTCGAGGTTGCAGCCGCCAGCTCACCATCTCCACAGAGCAAGTTCCTGGAGAGTTCATTTCCCTGGGCTGACGCACCTCTGCGGCTCTGGGGGTCAACCGTGTCTCTCCGCTGCACTGCGGAATTTTCCGCTTCTTTATTTAGGCATCCATTTTTCTTAGTTATTGCCTTCAGTGATGCTCTTTTCCTTCTTTGCTTGTTAGTTGGGAATATTTTAGATTAGACTTTTGTGTCCTGTTCATTATAGTCAGAACTTTGGGATAAAAATACTGTGGGCAAGTTTGTTGGCCGCCTTCCTTCCTCTGTTCAGTCCTCTTTCCCTTTGTTCCTGCACTCAAGGTGCGAGTCAGGGAGACGAGCAGTCGGAACACAGTGGAGGGACATCGCCCACTCCCCCGAAGCTTCCCGAAGGTGGGCTGATAGGGCGGTGGAGGAAGGACTCCCTGACTAATGAACGGTTAAGAATGTGCAGTGAGACAACCAGGGTCTGAGTTCCAGTCCCGCCTTGTGCTGGGTACATGATCTTGGGCAATTACTTGACCTCTCTTTGCCTCTGTTTTCTCACTGATAAAATGGGAGTGATAATAGCACCCAGCTCTCAGAATTACGAGAATTAAATGAGATAGTACATACAAATGTTATCCCAATGATGTTATTACATGTCTCAGCCTGTAGATGCAGCTTTAGCATTGGTGTTCTGGCAGCAGGAAGTCCCCCACCAGAGGATGGGGACTCGGAGTGCAAAGGGAGCCCAGGCTGGGGGCTGTATCTCTAGTGGTACCCCCCTTTTTTTGCCAAACACAGACCAGAACATAGGAGGGGAGTCAGGGGTACTGCCCTCTGCCCCCAGTTCCTGTCACAGTGGGGAATAGGCCCAGCATCCTCCTAGTAGGAAAGAACAATCAAACCTGTGATTGTTTCAGAAATCTCTAAACAGGCCAGGAGGAACAGAAATGTGGGATATAGGCTTCTAGTTTGCCCAATGTACTTTCTTTTTTTTAAAGATTTTACTTATTTTTAGACGGAGGGTAAGGGAGAGAGAAAGAGAGGGACAGAGACATTGGTGTGTGAGAGAAACACCAATCCATTGCCTCTCACACACCCGCAGCTGGGAACCTGGCCCGCAACCCAGGCAAGAGCCCTGACCAGGAATTGAACCGGTGACCCCCTCAGTCTGCAGGCTGGCACTCAACCTACTGAGCCATACCAGTCAGGGCCTGCTGTGCCTTAAGAGTTTTAGAGTTCAATTACAGAGCAGTTGCCCTGGTTAATCTTTTTAGCAACTTAATTCTCTCCATCCTAATTTATATATCATTTGCATCCAATGACATTCAGTGAGCAGATGCAAGTCTATAAATCCATATATGGGAACCTGCAGGGACTGAGGATTAAGGAGGGTGGGGCCTGAGTGACTGAGAGAGTTTCCCTGGATTTAAGAGCTAAAACTGAGTGCTGTGACCACTTGGAGCGGAACACTGGCGGATGTGTTGACCCTAAGGTGCAGGAGCAGGCAGTTTGTCTTGCGCTTTGTTCACAGTCAGTGTGCCGGCCAGACAGGGCCCCAGAGCACTCCCAGCCCTCCTGAGGACGACTCACAGGTGGGGTGCATCCTGGGCTGCATTCATCTTCTCTGTCACGAGCGTACCTGAGTGAACTGCGTGCAGTGCCGAGACTTGCCCAGCCAAGCACGCTTAGCCTCACAAAGGCCCAGGACCACTGCAGTGCCCTCATCGGATAACTTTTCCTTACTCACCTGGCATCAAGCTGTCGGGCAGCACCACCGTGGAGTATCGGGTGTCAGAGTGACACTGATAACGAGTGCTTGCCCGCAGGCAGTGTCTAGACTTTGGTCACCCTCGTCACACACGGCCACATGGAGCTGACATCAGAGGTGGAAGTCAGATTTGTGGGGAAGAGGCGGGGACTGCTGTCGATACACTGTAAACACAACGTTTTCTTCTTTGGGGATATTCGGCGTCATGCATTTTTATCTTTTCCAAGGCTATTGCAAAAAAAGCAAAATATGGCTTGTGCAACAAGATGGGTTTTTCTTTGTCTCTCTTTCTTTAAAATTCATTTTTAATTTTTCAGTTGCAGTTGACATTTAATATTGTACTAGTTTCAAGTGCACTGCACAGTGGTTGGACTGTATGGTTTATGTAACTGACGAAGCGGTCCCCTGGGTTACAGTGTTTTTGACTGCATCCCTACGCTGTCCTTGACATCCCCATGACTATTGTAACCACCAGTTTGTGCAACTTCATCCCTTCCCCTTTCTCACCCAGCCCCCCCAGCCCCTCCCACCTGGCAACTGTCAGTTTGCTCTCTGTGTATATGAGGTTTTCTTTCTGTTTCGCGTATTTATTTACTCTGTTTTTTGGATTCCCCCTGGGTGCCATTGCATGTTTTTAATTCCACTGGATAGAGAGACTCTTTTCCCTCTCTTGAAGTGTTTACAGTGTTGCAGAAACAGTTGGAAAAATTTCACATCCCACTTTAGAACTTCCTTGTAAGAATCAGCAAGGCATATCACATGCCAGAACATAGGATGGAAATTTAGGAAGAACGAGCACGAGTATTTGTGCAGGAATTTTGCGGGATTTAATAAGCGTCTTCTGTTTTGAAGGAAGCGTGGATAGCATAACCGTGTAGGTTAGGCAGAGGCATGGCCCACATACAGCCCTTCCAAGTTATTTCAGGTCAGTTCACTTCCATCAGGTGCATTATGCAATGTTAAAGTCAACTCCAATAGCGTACACTCAGGGGGATGCTTGAGGCATTTTTAAATGGATGTCTTTGGAGGAAAAAACAATCCTGCATCTGTACCGCTCACCCTTAGGAGCTCGTGCAGTCTAAACCATTCCGTGAGGAATCGCAGGGGCAGGGCCAGGCAGCTTTTCGTGAAGAAATCCCGCCTTGCAGCTCACTTGTGGGTCTCACCCCCGAGTTACAGCTGCAGGGCAAATCCTGGCTCCTTCCGTGTTACCAGTGAGGCTTTCGTAAGGGGCCGGACCCTGGCCGGGGCCTGTTCACCGAGATATGGAAAAGAGTTGTACTTGCTTCGAAGGCTTGCTGAAGATTAGGTGAGATAAATCCTGGAAAGCGTTTAGTGAAATGACTTTGAAAAGGGGCTTAGAGTAAGGACTCAATCAGTGGTAGCTATTGTTATAACTGTCATGTTTTATTTCATCCTTCTCCGCAAAGGCCATTTCATCCCTGTTTTGTTAATGACAAAATTGAGACAGAAGAAGTGACTTGAGGAGTTTCACCAGCCAGGACTAGATCCCAAGCTCTCAGTGCAAGCCATCTGTTTTTCTACACAATTCCACCTTGACACTGGCTCTGCCCTGGTCGCGGCTGGGCTTTCCTGCCTGTGTGAGGTGACCCGGGACCATCATCAGCCTGTTCTCAGTGTTCGGTTATACGTCTCTGCTGCTTGAGGGGGCAGTCTGTCCGCCCTCAGAACCGAACCTCATTCCCACCGGCTCCCAGTACGCAGTGCCCAGTGGTGAGGCGAGAACCAGGGTACGATGCCCGGATTCACCTTCTTCTCTGCTCCTGAGCACCTGTGTGTGCTCAGCCACATCACTTAGCTTCTCTGGGCTTTAATTTGTTCTTCCGTTAATTGGGGATAGAAACTTCTGCCCTGTCTGGGCATACTCCGTATAAATTCTCTGCGACGATAAGGGTCCCTTTAAACAATAGTACAAATGAGAAAGTGCTTTGATTCATATGAAGCTGAATGTACAGATGAGATGCCCACGTGCGATGTCAGAGCTCTTGTTGCTTTATTGGCTGGAATATGCCCAGGGGGTTTCATCTGTCTCGTGACTTCACCCCTGCCTAAAGCATCTTCTCAAACATTGGTTCTGGCTTGTGCCTGCCTGCAGGTGGAACAAGGGGTTTGGGAATGCATTCTGAAACATACCGAAGGGCTTTAGAAAAAAAAAGAAAGAAAGAAACCGCCCAGAAACCAGTAAACCAGGTCACTCAAGGGCGAAGCAAGCCGATTGCATTCCTGAATGCTGTATGACCTTGAGCAGCTCACTAACCTGTCTTGGTTTCAGATTCCTCCAAGGCAGAGACGGCCTAGGTGTTCCCTGAGGCTCCTTGTGACTTCACATTGTTGGCGATGTAGCACAGAGAGGAAACGTATGGCCTGCTCTGGCTGCGCTGGCTCTGTAACTCGCATCTGCCTTTTGTTGTCCGAGAGCATCCACGCCCCTCAACCCAGGCTCCGACTTGGCTCGGTTCACGTGAAGGAAGGCCAAGTGCAGGGAAGCCACATGCAGTTTGGGGTTGACCCTGGAAATCAAGAAATCTTTCTTTGGCTCACAGCCTTGCTGTTGCTCTGGACCAAGTGAGAGGAGTTAACTTCAGAGAAAAACAAATGCCTCCACCCCAACCCTGCCAGATGTGCTCTTCTTGCCCCGTAGCCCCTGTTACACTGAGATATTGCTGAAGGCATTGTCAGTAAGCCTGTGTGGTGGAGAAACAGAAAACAATTTTTCATTTTCCAGCAGCCGTATGCTGTGCAGCCACCCTGTACAGGCACCTGGCAGGGCAGGGTGATGAGACGGTGTGATCTCGGGGCCATGCTGTCCCCGTCTCTGACCCCAACTCAGCCTCCAGTATAATCTCCGACTGAGCTTGTGTTTTGGGGCTGAAGTAGGTTACCCCTTTGGAACATTAAGCCACCAGGTTGGGACATGAGAGGCCTCTATTAATGTGTGGACATATTAATGCTAAAAGCCATGATTGGCTGTTAACACCTTTACTGATATTTTATGGGATATGAGTCAGAGGAGTCATGGTTGGAGAGAGAATGGAGGCAAAGGTCTAGAACTCTGGGCATTGCTAAGGAAAGTAGATGTGAGTGATGGTGCAGGGGCAGCCTCATTGTAACAGGCACATGCAAAGAGAGAAGGCTGGTAGGGCAAGCCAAGAGCAATGTGAGTTCAGAAGGAGAAAGCCTATGTAGATGAGAGTCAGGGAAATACGGGAAGGCTTCATGGAGAAGGTGTTTGCGCTGATCCTGATGGTCAGGGCAGACAGAAATGAAATTCATCCTAAACAAAAGGAACTGTATGGGTGGAAATTCTGAGGAGGCAAAGTGCTGCCCAAGGCATCCTTGAGAGGCCAGTGTAAGATCTGTAGTGTTAGGAGGCACCTGAGTGGTACACTGAGCTGGTCCTCAGACATTACGTAAGCAGGTCGCTTGTGCCAACTGCTGCTCCACGCTGAGTTCATTCCTTGGGAGGTAAGTGGAATCCACTGAGCACATGTGGGAAGTTACGCCTGATCCTCCGACTCTCAGACCAAAGGTGATAGCGCAATACGGAGTAGAGGCATTCCACCTGTGGTCAGGAAAGCTCTGCCCAGTGAAAAGGTCTGTGAGGCCTCCCCAGGTGTATTTCTGTCTTTGAAACAAGTTGTTGAGAGAGTACCAAGAAAATGTCATGAAAGAATCTGGTTTCCCAAAAGAGAAGTCAGCCAGAATACCTTGTCGCAGAAAAGACCATGCTTTAAAATTTCATGAGAGCAATTAATAAAGTGTCTCCTCTTGGCTGAGGGCAGGAAGGGTGATGAGAGGGTACGAGGATGGTTCTAAGCCTAAAAGTACCAGTTGGAGACAGAAGAGATGATACCACTTTCTTGTCTCTTCGGGGACATGATAGAAATTGAAAGAAGACTCTAAAGTCACTGGATATATTTTCTAAACAAAGGTTTGTGGACAAATGCTCATTCATCTAGAATGAATTTACTATGGCCAACAGCCTTCTGTGTTCAAAACAATCAGCTCACTTTTGCACATACAAGTGACAGATGCTAGCAGGATATAAAATATGCATGCACCACGGTCTGAACCCTAAATGAGCGCCTGAGAAAAAAGAAGGGAATGAAGTATGCTGGAATGGTAGCAGATTGCCTCTGGGTGACAGAATTATGAATCATGTGGGTTACGGTAGTGAACATGCTTTTCAACACTTCGCTGTCCTTGAAAACTTTCATTAAGTAATCATGTATCATTTTGATAAGGGGGAAAAGTATTTAGAAGATTGTCAGGAAAAAAATGTGGTAACAGAAAATTGACTGATTCCCTTAACAACTTACTCCTTATTTGATGCTGACCTCCGGCCGAACCAGGAAAGGTTGGGTCAAGGTGAAATCGACTTGCTCTGAGCCTGGCATTGCCCTGGAAGACTGGATTTCGGCTTCCTTTCCCCCGTTCTGGCTCCACAACACCAGCTATGCAAGTCACCTTTTCTTCTCTTTTCTCAAACAGTTCACGGATCCTCGCTCTCCTTGGTTTCCAGCACATCGTCAATTTATTCGACGGTGAGTAAAAATCAATGCTGTATAGTTATGATGGTGTGAGCTGAGGTTCCTTTATCAAATGTGTCGAGAATAAAAGACCGGCGTTCTTCCTAGAGAGAGTATTTCCATTATAAGGGGATCGATTAATTAGGCAACCAGCTTGAAATTCATAAAATGGGTATTGATGAGAATGTACCAACCAACGAATCAGGAACCGGCTGCTTTGTTAAAGTGGCATTGTGCTGGGGGGTGATAACTAGTCAGCGTGTGTGAGAAGCCTTGGCCACCTGCTGGTAGAATTTGAAAAGAAAGGCCTTGAAAAATGTATTCATCTTCTGCCTCAGTTTCTTTATCTATAAAATAGAAAGAACAGCTGTCCCTACTTTGTGAAGTTGTAAGGAGGATTAAAGGTTCTGAAGATTATATTTTGCTACAATATAAATTCATTGAAGACAAGGACTTTTTTATGTTTTTATTCCTAGTGCCTAATAAGTGTTCAAAAAGTAGGTTTGCCTAGAACAAGAAAACGCACGCGAAGCCATGAACACAGTGCACGCGGCACAGAGGAAGCGTCTGTAAATGTTCGCCGACCGGGGGAGTTCCACTGAACAAAAGCCCAATGTAATCAGACATGGCGCTGGGTTTGTTCAGAGGGGCTTACTTTTTATAGCTATGTGTGTCAATACTTGGAAATTCCTATAGGAAAAAAAATCCGTTAATTAGGAATTGAAGATTATTTAGTCCCTAATTCTGTGGAGAACAAAGGTTTTTTTAATATTTCAGGTTTCTGGGCTACATAGCAGGATAAACTATATATAGCCCCTTGTAAGTAAAAGGCCGTCCCAGAATCAAATGGAAGAGACCACAGCCTGTCTTTCTTAAGCCTCTAGCAAACACTTCTACGACTGCTGACCTGGTCTGATTTGGAAGGCCTAGAAATGCTCTCTTTCTCCTACTCCCCTCACCCCTCTGACTCCAAAGTACCTCTTTCTGCAGCTAATCGCCTTCTCTGAAATTTCATCACAGAGTCCTGGCTTTCATGTTAAAGGCTTTATATATAGTAACCTTGGGGAGAGACCGTTTAAGCTGTTATCTACTAGGAAAGCATAGAGGTGGCCTTCTAACTGTGAGCCAGCCTTTGTTCTACACTGAAACTCTTGTGATATCAATACCAGAGATGGGACTGTCAAGCCGAGATTCACCGCTTCAACAGGATTACTGGCACTAAAGACGTGCCAGGCTAAGCCCTGCAGATATGGTTTAAGTGTAGAGAGGAGCCTGCTGCTGAAAGAGGAAAGCAGAGGCACCAGAGAGTCCCAAGGGACATAGGACGTGGGACTCTAGTTTCACAGGGTTGGTGCAGAGCCACCATAGCAGACATTTTGGTGCCCGTGCCCTGTGTCTTCTCAGTGGCTTTCCCAGGGTTCCCTGTCCACCCAGAGGGGCGGGCCCTTCTGAGAGGAGGGAAAACCGGGAGGCTGGCCTGTGCCAGCCAGTCTTGGAGGGGAAATGCGTGAGTTGTGCCACCTGTGAGCCTCCGGTGGTGGAACCCATCCCTTGCCCTCATGCCAGTCATTGGAGGTCCTTGCAGTCAGAGGTCTCTTTTCCCAGAGCTCTTGTGCTGGCTGGACATGAAGCAGGTATTTTCATTAAATGAGAAATGGTCTTTTCCGAGTTGATATAAGTTCACAAATTACCAAAGACCTAACAATAATTAATTCATCTGGATAACAAGAAACCGGAAGTCTAATCTCAATTTTTCTTCCTCCCTGTATGACTTTGGACAAATCACCTCATCATTTTGGGTGTCGCTCTGTTGCTCTTGGTGTCGGAGAGCCAAGCAAGGTGGTCTCTGAGGTCCCCACAACCTCTGACATCCCACCAGTTATGGAATCAGAGGTTCCCCTTTACTGTCCTTGGCATGTGCCCTCTCTGAGAATTTAGGTTACCTTTGCAGACTTGAAAAAAAGAGAGAGAGTCTAACAATTAGCTGTTTTCATGCCAGACTAGTCTGCTAATTCCAAGGGAACCTGCAAGTCTTGCTAGACTCTGCTCCCAGCAAGTACTGATGTGCGCTCCCTCATCTATTATTAGCCACTGGGTGGTGATGAAATTCTGAAACAAATACTCAGGCGCCTTTGCAAATGTTAAGGTGAACAAGCTCTCATTTGTTGTCTGCAAAGAGATCTTTGGAGTCTCTGAAGTTGTCACCAACCCAGACCAAAGAGTCTGTTTAATAACTGAGTGTTTTATAGGCTCTTATTGGATGATAATAGGTTTTTTCCCCCCTTGAAATCTCTGTAATTCTTGGATATCCAAGACTGCCCATTCTGGCTGAGATGTGTCTGTCATTTTAATTACAAAGACAGGAAAAGGCAACATGATGCTAAACAACTGTTGTGGAGAAGCCATGGCCAGCCCATGGAGGAGAGAAAATGCAAGAGGCCACATCTGGGATCACGCTTGCTTTCGTGACCGGTTAGGGAGCGCAGCTGAGTTCCATGGGGAGCTGCTAAGTGGGGGGAGGTCAGCAGCTGCACCTGGACTTCCCAGATGTGCAGAAGAGCAGCAGCAGCTGGGGGCAAAATATAAAACACATGATTTCTCCAGGCTGCCGTTGAGAACAGGGGCTCACCCCCATAGACAGGTGGGCGCAGTGACAGTGGCAGAAACAGGGGAAGGAGCATTAGGCCTGTGGATAGAGGTAGGGCTGGATGGTTCAGCCTGCTCGCCGGCCTCTGCTAGCCTCCCAGATGTTAGATAGCGCTGATAGTCTCACCATTAACTTTTCCCCTTTGGATCACACTCTGAAGATCGGGCCTTATTTCTGGAAAGCTTCCATGAGAATGTAGCTATAGTAAAAGCAGGAGAATATGCTGGTTAAGATCACAGGCTCTGCAGCCAGAGTGCCTTGGATCTAATCCCAGCGTGACCACGGGCAGATGACCAGTCCTCTCTGTGCCTCACCTTCCTCATCTGCAAAACAGAAGGTGATGGTGTTAGTGCCTACGCAGAGGGTTGTTACGAGGATGAAGTGAATACTGAATATAAAGTGCTTGGAACAGTTGCTGGCATGTGGCACTATTCAATAAATGCTAGTTATTTTTTTTTTAAAGATTTTATTTATTTATTTTTTAGGGGAGGGAGGGAGAGAGAGAGAGAGAGAGAGAGAGAGAGAGAGAGAGAGAGAGAGAGAGAGAGAGAGAGAGAGAGACATCAATGTGCGGTTGCTGGGGGTTATGGCCTGCAACCCAGGAATGTACCCTGGCTGGGAATCGAACCTGGGACACTAATGCTAGTTATTTTTTTTTTTTTAAGATTTTATTTTAGGAGAGAGAGAAAGGGAAGGAGAAAGAGAGGGAGAGAAACAGCAACGTGTGGTTGCCTCTTGTGCACCCCTCACTGGGGACCTGGTAACCCAGGCATGTGCCCTGACTGGGAATCGAACCAGCAACCCTTCGGTTGCCAGGCCCATGCTCAGTCCACTGAGCTATACCAGCCAGAGTGTGCTAGTTATCATTATCAGAATGTGAGTAACATGAGGCGAGGGACTTGGACGTGTTAACAGGGATATCTAAGTTCTTAAACAGTACCTGGCACACAAAGGAAGTCAATAAATATTTGATAGGTGGGGTGGATGGACAAAGAGGGACTGATAAATATTATCTGGGGGGAAAGAGTGAACCCTGAGACATCTCCAGACCTTCTCCTGAAAATGTTTCTTAGATGAGGAGATGGCCCAGCTGTGTGAGGTAGGGAAGAGACATAACCTCTCTGAGCCTCAGAGGAATTATAGGCAAACCTACTTCATGGAATTTCTGCAAGGATTAAGCAATTTGGCCCCAGTCTACCTAAAAGTTAGTTGCCGCTCTTAGAAGCCAGCCTGGACGGCACGGGGGCTGTGGGCAGGGCTGGGAATGAGGGCAGTGGGGAGCAGAGTGAAGGAAGATTGGATAGGAACCTGCCCCAGCTTATGGGGGTGGGGCCTTGGTGGGGGTGTCTAATGAATCCCACCCATTTACATTCTGAATAGAGAAGTAGACACCAGAGTCAGGTGCTAGCTTTAAAAAATAATGAGTTTATCGCTAATACATTTGGATTAGGACATTCAGGGAGGACCCAACGACAAAAGAGGGCCCTTACCGATTTTCACTCACCTACCTGGCTTCCACGTCACTGTTTCTCCCTGGACAAGTGTGAGGGGGGTTGTGGAGAGAGGGGCGGGAGCACTTCCAGCATTTCCAGGAAGGGGTAAGGGGGAGCCTCCTTCTGGGAGCCCCTTGGGAACCCAAGGAAGGGGAAAGAAAGGTTCCCCTGGCCGTAGGTCCCCCCCCCACCCAGGTGGGCTCCCCCTCTGGGAGGAGAGGGGTGGTTTTGTTCTCCCACTGGCAGCCAGCTGCAGTCAGAGAACAAACTTTGGGGCCCAGCATGGAAGGCTCTGCCATCTCAAGGACCCCCAGGCGTCACCTCTCTTTCCCCAGGGTCACAGTAACCGGGGAACTCGAGGTTGCCTGTGTGTTTATTTTCTCAGTCTGGCACCTGCCCTGGCCCCTACTATCCTTCTCACAACCCCTCTCCTGGGCCCCTGACCCTGCCACCATCCCATGTGGGGACAGGGGATTCCTCACAACCGAAGTGATTAGAGTGTCTACTACTTAGTAATTTCGTAAAATAATACGCTGATTGTTTTGGACTTTTTCATGGGTTAAATTTTTTCCAAAACCAGTTTGTCTAGAAAAATGCACCAGGAAAGAAATTGGTAAATCTTCCAGACTGCTATTAGTACCCAGATATGGTTACTGTCCGCAGGCTGGTCTGCTCTATTCTGTTGTTTCTCAACTCCTCTAATCGCCTTGTGTTTTCTTTACAGCCGGAGGAGAAATGCCAGTCAGAGGTAAGTGACCGTTTGCTGGTCGATTTCCTTTTCCACCGTCATCCGTTATTTCACCCAGTTCAGCCTGGAAACGGACTCCCAAAGCAAGTAACCCTCCCTGTCCCCGGTCTTCTTTAGATTCGCAAACTGCGGCGGGAGTTGGATGCCTCCCAGGAAAAGGTTTCCGCTTTGACCACCCAGCTGACAGCAAATGTGAGTATGGACCCCGGGCAGCAGCTGTCGGAGGGGCGGCAGCCACTGTGGCCTGCTGAGCGTCAGCTTGAAGCCTCCCGGCCCAGAGCACCGTGGAAGTCCTGTGGTGTGACACACGGGCTGTAGCATCATGGGTGTGGATGTCGGCTCTGCCCCTTACAGGCTGTGCTTTGGGCAAGTTCTCTAACCTCTACACTTGTATTTGCTCCTCTGTACCGTGGGCAATGATACTACCCATCAGAGCTGTCACGGGATCAGTACCTGGACTATATTAAGTGCTCAGAAACGTTCATTTCCCTTCCCTTTCTCTTTCTGAAAACTTTCATAGAAGGGGAATAAAGGTGGTGGGGGAGGAAACCTAAGGTTTCACAATAAAGAGCTGACTGCTCTGTAATTATAACATACACAATTACGTGTTCAGGGGGCACTGCCAGCCAGCACTCAATTCAGCAATTGTTTAAGTGCCAACTATGCCCCCGGCGCTGTGGGTTCAACAGCAAAGCAAGCAAGTCACTGTCATTTTAGTGTTGTTTGTCTGGCACAGCAGAGAGACAAAACAGTTTTGCCATAACACGATAACTGTTATGATAGAGATCAAGGGGAAAAGGTTGTGGGAATATGTAGGAGGAGCACCTATCTCAGTCTCAGTGGGGTAGGAGGTCAGGGAAGGCTTCCTGGAGGAGGTGACATCTGACAGATACTATGCAGGGGAGGTGCATGGGGAGGACAACTTTCTAACTGAAAAGAATAACTGGTGCAAAAGCCCAAGGTGAATGGTCTTGATGCATTTGGATGAGAGGCAGGGTGCAGGGGAGAAAGAAGGAGGTGCCAACGAAAGGCCATGGTCAAGGTGCACCGCAGAGGCCCTTGGCTGTTAGGTGGGAGGTTGGGCTTCCTTCTGAAGGCAGTGAAGCCCTCTCAGTGGGCCTCCAGCAGAGCCATGGGGGGTCGGTGCGGCGATAGGATCAATGAGGTGAGAGTAGAAGCAGAGAGCTCCTACCCCATCAGACCAGTCTGTAGAGGAGACCTGCTGCAGGGCTGACGCACGGAAGGCAGAGCCTGAGGTTTGGGAAGGTGCTGAGATGCCTCTGGGGCAAGACTTCCTACACAGGAGTGCACAGCCCAGCCTGAGTCTGCACACACAGGTGCCCGAGGCGGTCAGAAAACAATCTGCCTAACCCCATAGCTGCTAAGCAAAAAGCAAGCTGAAAAGGTTGTCCTCCTTGGACCAAGAAGCTTGGTCCAAATTAATATTTCACCTGCAGTTTTGGCCCACGTAATTCCTGGCTTGAGCCCAAGGCTACTCAAGGAAACCATTTCTCTTTAAAGTCTGCACATGAGTGCCTTGCACAGTGCTGGCCCTTGGTTACAAGCTCAATAACCAGTGGCTGCTGTCACTAGTATTCATGTTTCTGAGCTCTCTCACACTTCTAGAAATCTTAGATTTTTCTTCCAAAGCCCTGACGTATTAGGCCACTGCGTGTTTCGTAGTCCTCCTTTTCTTTCTTTACTTTGTCCACCATCAGTAACGCTATCAAAAGACCATCAGAAATTGATGTGAGACCTGAATTTGAGGCTTAGATCCCATTCAGAACAGCAGAAGCATTTTCCTGAGAGCAGACTCTTTATCTGGGTCACCATTTGAATCCAGAGCCGCCTGCGGACCCAATAAGCCAGGATCTCCTGGGTATAATCCCAGTGTGTGAGATCTGATAGTGACCCCCTCTCCTAAGTGATCTCGAACTACTCCTCTACTTAAGAATTGCAGCTGTCAACTGTTGCCCCTCACTAATCTTAAAGCAGTAATTTACTTATAATGAACTTGGGTTTATTCTTCCAATGACCTCCTGCTCTGTGGGACCTTACGTTGGGCCATTCGCAACCCTGCTCTCTGTTCCAGAAGTCAGAGATCTCTCTTGTCTTCCTATTCTTCTAAAAGTGTGTTTCACTCCTCACAAACGCCATTGAATCCCGTATTGTTTTAAAGTAAATATTTAGTCTTACCACACACCACCAGCAGTGCTAACGTGTTTTATTGTCTGCCATCTCTCCCACAGGCCAAGCTGTGTTTGTTTTTCTAGGACAAACTACTCAAAGCCACCTTCTCTGGGTGTTTTTATACCACTGGTGTTTGTTTTCCCTGGGAATGCGAGAATGGTGCTGGATGAGAGGGGGGCTGTTGCGTGGCTCTGAACCAGGCCTGTGGCAGCCTCAGCCTGTATTTTCATAGTTGCATTCGTACGGAAAGTCAGTCCTTTCGTTCACCAGCAAAATGCCGACCTCCGGTTCTTCAGAGCAAATGCGGTTTCTTCCGGAGCTTTGCAAAAACACTTTCTCACTAGCAGTTTGTGTTTTCAGTGGAAGAGAAAATGTGAATGCCCACTGATAGAATCACGGGTGGCGTGATTCAACATAAATGGAAATTCAGTCCTTTAAATTTGACCGTGTCGTTCCCTTGAAATGCCAGGATTGCCATCATCCTTTTTCACATCCATGTCCTGGCCCACTTCCTTCATCCGCGTGTGACTGCCTTGAATTAAATTGGCTCTGGTCTGGCCACATTCTCCAGGGCAGACTGAAGTGTATCTCTTTATTTTAAAGTGCAAAGGCATTCTCTCAATTTTTAAGAGAGAGCAGGCACGCAGTCAGAAAAGAACTGGCTAGTCCACTTCACATGTCCCTTGCAAGTGGCCCTCCCCCCGGGCCAGATCCTATGGTTGCTGGGAAAGACTCCACCATTGATCCTGGAGATGATCTTACCCTCAACTGTTCCTGTTTGGTGAAATGTCCTGACAGAGGCCTCTCTGACTCATTCCTCAAATCGCAGCGTCCACGGGCCCTCCACACAGCCCAGGGCAGTGACTCCTCCCCCAGCCAGATGTTATCCAGCTTTTATTCTTTACTGTGTGCATCACCCATCTTTTCTCCTGGAATTTTCCAACATGATCAAATCTTGGCTTCCCCCAAGACTCTCAAGGATCCTGCTGGTCCTTCTCATTCCTCCTACAGCCCTCTGTGTATCTACCCGCCCCTCTCTGAGAACCCTATCTTGATCTCCTTACTCCGATGTTCTGATGGTATCTTTGGCCACTTTCTCATTCCCAGACCTCTTCCTTTCCTCCACACTGTTCATTCATTCCTGTGTTTCACCTACATTATTTCATTTAATGCTCGTAATAACCCTGGGAGGAAGATAAATATTGTTCCCATTTTATGAAGAAACTGAGTCCAATAGGATTAGGTGATTTGTCCATTCTTTATTCTTGGTTCTAACAATATTAACCAGGACCCTCAGTCCACCAACCAATCTATCACCTCCTGCTCTGTGGAAGAAGGAAGAGGTCTTAGTGTGAGAACACAGAGTTGCCTCTTGCCCTTGAAGAGGGTTGCAGAGCAGGGGGCAGATGGGAAAATATCACATTTCTCAATTCTAAGACGCACATTTTTCTTTTCACATTTTAACATCTTTGAAATTTGGATGCATATTTTACTTATAATTGGCAGCATTTAAAAAAATGTCTTAGTAAGATATAAAATAATGGTGCCTTGTGTTCTTAACAGAGGTTTATAAAAGTTCAGGGGAGCTCAGGGGAAAGGCGTAACTCCCTGGCAGAACAGGGGAGGGGTTCTCTAAGGAGGTAGCAGATGGGCCTTTCCGTGGCTTTTTATTAACTTGGATTATAACAAGCAAAATATGCCAGCCACTTTGTTCACTCACTCTACAAGCGTGCTCAGTATGAGCCCCTGCTGTGAGCTTGGTGTGTGATGAACAAAAGGTCATCCTGCTGTGTGGCAGAGACGTGTGAAGCAGGTCCCGCAAGAGCACACACAGTTCTGACTGTGATGCCACAGAGCACAAAGCAGCCGCCCAGTGTGCTGGTCAGAGTAAATACGAAGGCACCAACCCAATCTGGGGGTGTCATGAATACATGAGTTGAGATCTCCTGAGAAGGATATGCAAAAATTAGTTAGGGAGGGAGGCAGCTGGTGGGTAGAACACCCCAGGCTGAGGGGGAAATGTGTATAAAGGCCCTAAGGTGAGAGGAAGTTCAGGGCCTTTGAGACATGAAAAGCTTGAGTAACAGTCCCAGAGTGCTGGGCAGCAGGGCTCAGGAGACGGAAGCATTAGACAGAGGCTAACTCGCATGGTCCTGTGAGGATTTCCGTCTCTAGTGCTTTGCACCATTTAAGCACTCTTACCTTACAAGGGTATGTAACTCGGGCTGTGTCTTCCCCTCCAGGCTCACCTCGTGGCAGCCTTTGAGCAGAGTCTTGGCAACATGACCATCAGGCTTCAGAGTTTGACCATGACAGCCGAGCAGAAGGTAAGGCAGAAAGGATATTTTTTCCCCTCCCTGCTTGGAGTTAAAAACACACCTAAACATGCTATTCTTTCATTCCAGATCATGTACAGATTGATTTGTATAGATTTTAGAGTAGGTCTGTTGAGTGCCCTAGATGGCCAGGTGGTAATTTGATCCATGACAGATATGACACAGTCCTATTTCTGCTGTTGCCATGGGCTCTCGCACACATGTTGCAAATTGACCCAACTTGGTGTTTGATGAGACAGAGGTTGATTAGCACTCCTTTACTTCCTACCTTCCACTGTTGAAACTTGCTCTTCGGTTGAACTCTGTACAGAGAATGATTTTAAAATAACCAATGTATTTTTTCCTGCTTCTCAGGATTCAGAGCTGAATGAGTTAAGAAAAACCATTGAATTGCTAAAGAAACAGAACGCAGCTGCTCAGGCTGCCATTAACGGAGTAATTAACACGCCGGAGCTCAACTGCAAAGGTAAAGGAACAGAAACAGCCTTCAGACAAACAACCTGACGCAACCGCTGCCAGAGAGTGGGTGTCCGAGTCAGCCAGGCAGGTCCTGGAAGGCGAATACGTCACCCAGTTACTTCTGCCCTCTGGGAAGATAGCCATTCCACCTCACCCTCTTTGATGTATCTCAGAAATGGAAGAAACTTTATTTCTATTGGCCAAGTGTCAAAGTATTTCATAGCCCTTAATTTCACTACCACTTTGATGTTTACGTATTGATGTGGGGCAACGTGAAATGGGCTCATCTATTTGTCCAGGAAAAGATTTGTGAGCAAATTGCTTTGTCCCTGTGTCACTTACATGGGGGGCAGTGTGGGTGTGAGGATGAGTTACTTCCTGCAACAATGGTATTATAGTAATAATAGAAGTCATAGTGACAGCTAACATTTATGGACCGCTCACTGTGTTCTAAGTGCTGTATCAGTGTTTCAATTATTTAATTGATGATCTCATTTTCTTTCCACAACACCCTTATGAATGCGATACTGAGCCTTTCCACACTGTACTAGCAGGGGCAGAGTTTCAAACACGAGTCATTTCCCAGGGTCACGGAGCAGTTAGAAACAGAAGAGGGACTAGACCCATGTCTATCTGACTCTGCACTGGTGCTCTACAAACCAGGTTGTAGGTGTAGCTCTGTGTTCATGAGGAAAACTGTCTGCAAACTATTTTGGAATCACCAACATGTCCGGCAATGACATGTGTCAGTGTCATTCTGGCACCACTGTTGTTTCAGATATCAGGCCTCCAGAAGCCTTGATGTTAGAGTTGACATGGGAAGGATTAGCAAGAGCTGGCCAGGCGGAGTGGAGGGAAAAGAGCATTCCAGGAAGAGGGTTAGCCCCAAGATGAGTGGGTGTGGCATCTCCCAGGGGGTGAAAGGTGGCCAGTGCAGCGAGGAGGGGGCACTAAAAACATCTATCTAAAGCTTAAGAGAGCTGGTGTTGGGGGAATTTTCTCTAAACCTTCTTGTGCTTAAGTAAAGGAGAGAGAGAGAGCCCTCTTTTATTGACCAAATGGTATAGCACCCATCTGTTCAAGGACCTTAATAGCAGCAGTGAGGGGCAGAAGGTGATGCCTAATGGGAAACACGGAGTAGTCCTTGGGTGTGCAGACTTAGGTGTGCGGGTTATTCCCTAAGACAAAGGAATGGGCTTAAGGCAGCAGCTGCTGACGTCCTGCCTCGGGTCTGCAGGGAACGGCACCTCGCAGTCCGCAGACCTCCGCATCCGCAGACAGCACTCCTCCGACAGCGTCTCCAGCATCAACAGCGCCACCAGCCACTCCAGTGTGGGCAGCAACATAGAGAGTGATTCAAAGAAAAAGAAGAGGAAGAATTGGGTGAGTGTACATCCAGACCCTCACGTGGGACTAACAGAGTCAATCTCAGCACCGGTGTCCCCCCAGATAAAGCCCAGGCGAGCTCTTAACTTCCAAACACAGACCTTTAGTTTGTCGGTAGGTTTCTACTAAAATCAATATTGTGCTCAACCAAACACAAGGACTTATGAAATCACCACCACCTTACAGTTTTTCTGTTCATGAGACTTTATGTGAATTACTCATCTTTCATTTCATGTATGTGTCATTTCTTCCTCATCATATTTTGGCCAGAAAGTTCCAGGTACTAGAGCAAATTTACTCTTAAGTGGTTTCTTCTTGGTTCCAAAGTATATTTTGGAGTGTTATCACTAATTATCCATTGTTAATCATAATCCTTATCTATTTATTTACACAATCTCCTATGATAGCCTTAGACCACCCTTCTCTTTGAGAACTTTTGACCATGACCGCTAAAGTAAAATTTTCACACTGGTGATGTTAGCAGTCAGTGAATGGTTCTCGCTTTGGAGGTGATACCTCAGAATGGCAAGTTCAGTAGAACCAGTCGCCAGGGCAGCGTTTCTCCACGTTTCCATGTCCCAATGTGCTCCTTTACTTCCTATTCAGTGACACCTTGAACAGTTTTTCCCAGTCTCCTGGGGAAATTCCACTCTTCTCTCCCCACCCAATCTCTGGCTCTACTGTCGAGGCCGTGGAATTCTGATGGACATTCGCTGCTCCCTGTTTGCAGTCCAAGCGGAACCGAAGTTGGCCAGTGCTCCAAGGGCCTCATGTGTCAGTGCCGATAGCATCGTGTTTTCATAGTAGCTTTAACGTCTTCATTCATTCCATACACTTCCCGCTCATTTTGTGTTATCTTGGATGGGTGGCGAGGTCTGGTAACAGGGGAGTTAAGGATTCAGTAATGTTGATTATTCATGACCTGTACTGGAGGCAAGCTAACAGGCCAGTTTAGTGTGACCCTCTCATCATTCTGATGGAGTTTTTTCTTTAAGCTACTAATGGCTTTTAGTCAACTCATTTGCTATGATTTAAACAAGTAGAATTAACTCACGTTGCTATTTCTAATATGCTATTGATAACTATGGTCTTATTTGATTATCAAAGTGGCGAGAGAATTCTCTTTTATGAAAAAATGGTGGCTGTCCATTTTCTTCAGTTTAAGAAATAAAACTTATTTATGTTGCCTTAAAGGTTTCTCTGGGTTATCATTGCAGTTGGGGAGGACTGGTAATTTGCATCCTCAGATAATCCCAAAGCTTAATTCTGTCAAAATTCTGTTATCTCCTCTTCCACCTGGCATTTTACCAAAGGTGGAGGCAAGAGCATAGGTTGATGGCTTATGTGCCAAATGCTTCTGTTTCTATAACTACTCTCAAACTATGATCAGAAGTAGGAATAAGAAAGAAGTATGATGTAGATTCACCCACAAGCTGGGCATAGAGTTAGTTTGTTATGGATGAAATATTGATTGGAGAAAAATCCCATTAATTATTTCAGAATGGCCCATTTTCTGAATTTCTCAATGGCAAAGAAAGCCCTCAGACCTTGTTTTCCAAAGAAAAAAGGACTTTAGCCAAAGGAGGTTACTTTTTTAAAAGACCTTTTTTCAAGATGTAACTTTACTTTCTGGCCTAGAAGATTACATGCTTACCATGATTTTCAGAAGAGACGTGCACTTTAATTCTTTACGGTCTCGTGAGAATTTTGAGGTCCATCCATCTCATGGTTTGGGCAATTTGTGATATACCAGTTTCTTTCCCCCAGTATGGTGAATAAATTTCTTTAAAAATATCTTTTTTTGTTTTAGTAACACAGTGAGGTGACTGATTCCCTGCTTACTGTGTTGTCTCGTGTGTATGCGAGGATAACAGGAGCCCCTACATGCAGGTGTCAGGGAGTTCTCCAGTGAGTAGGGACCAGTGCAGTAGCAGTGCAGTTGCCCTTCCTTGCTGAGAAGAAAAGACACCCCCCCCCAAAAAAAAAATTAAGGCATAGAGAGGTGACTGATGAGGGACAAAGGGTGAGGAGCACAGGTGAGGGGGGACAGGTATTCCAACCAGACAGAGAAGCTGTAATAACTCAGATTGTTGGGACTTCCAGACTCGTAATTCTTTTCCTTGCATCACAGAGGAAGATGCCCCTCGTGCTTTGAAAGATTTGTGGTCTTACTGGAAACCTCCTCTCTGTGTGGTGTTTACAATTAGTCATGTCATGTCTGAAAAGTCCGAAGCTTTCCCCGTCACTGGCTTTCTCTGTTAAAAATTGTCTTTTTTCCTTCCCCTCCCCCATTTTTGCTTGCGTTTTCCCTGGCAGGTCAATGAGGTAAGCAAGTCTGTTAATATCAGATACCAAGCTAACCCATCCATTGATATGACTAACCTCATCCGCATCCGTCACCGCGTCTGAGCATCCCGCTTCGTTGCTGTGCCACCTCATCCTCCCGACATCCCCCTGCTGAGCCAGGCTCTGTCTTGCTGTTGGCATCTAGTCTTGAACCGAGAGTAGGCATGGAATGTTACCCACAGGTCCAGTCCTTTGAGCTGTCCACACGAGATAACTTTTCTTCCCTTAATGCAACTGATTGGAGAGAGCTGTGGGGAACTTTTCTTCACGGGTGGGAAGAAAATGTGGGAGAGTTAATGGCCCTTTTGCCTGCATGTTCCTGTTTTGCCAAGGCCTACCTGTTGGTCGCAGCCCCCGCCAGGCTGACGGTCTTGTCTGTTCAGTTACGCAGCTCCTTCAAGCAAGCTTTTGGGAAGAAGAAGTCCCCCAAGTCAGCGTCCTCTCATTCAGACATTGAGGAGATGACGGATTCTTCTTTGCCTTCCTCGCCAAAGTTACCGCACAACGGTTCCACGGGCTCCACTCCGCTGCTGAGGAACTCTCATTCCAACTCCTTGTAAGTCTGTCGGTCGGGGTCAGATGGCATCTCTCTCAGGCAGGAGTAGCTGGGAGTCCTGTTATGTTTTAACTGCTCCTTGGGGTCCTTGATGTCTTGCCTTCATGGGGCCATGCAGGTCCCTTCAGTGTTTTTGGACTGGGGAGGTGGAAAGGGAATAGAAACTTAGGTTTTTGTGCTGGTGGCCTATCACTGTGGCTAATCAGTTAGTAAGCTGGTGTCGGGCAGGTTGCTTACCTCTTTTTGGGGTAATGGTTGTCTACTTATCCTATCTAAGGATTGAACAAGAGAAATGGGTATAAAGAGCTATTATAATCATCCTGCTGTGAGGGAGAGGTGATGTTGTAAGAGTTGGCTATTTCTGCTGAAGTTCTGGCTCCTTTGGGGACAAGGCTCATAGTGATTAGCCTTTTCTTCTTTGATTGTGACGCAGTGTTGATTCTCTGAGGTCAACACACAGAAATTGGACGTTTTCAAACATGGAGAGATTCGGTGGCAATTCTCTTTCCCAAACGGTCTATATTTTGTAATGTGACTCATCTCCCTGAACTCCCCTAGTAATTTAAAATCAGTCCATTCGTTCAGAGCTCTTTGGGAACATAGCTGGTTCTGTGAAGGGTGACATGTGTCTGCCCACTTGGCAATGGCTCAGACACTGTTCCGGTTGGTGACAGGTTGCATAGATGGGGAGAGTCATATGCTCTTGCCCAGCCAGCCGCCCATGATTTCCACTGGGCACTCACTGGTCATTCTCCATCTAAAAACATCCCGTGCCCCTCCTAACCACATAAGGCCCAGATTCTAAGGGCAAGAACATGTCGGGAACGGCTTGGGATGGACCCTGATGAGGACCCAGGTGTCAGCTTAGAAGATGGCACAACTGGCTTCCTACAGCAATGGGAAGGATTGGCCCTGCACCCTGGGCTGACTCCCATTAGAGACCAGGCCAGGAGTGAAAAAAGAACTGAAGCGGACTGTCTGCAAGGAGTTATCCCGCAAGATCAGACAGCGCCTGGGAGAACAGGGCCATTGTGCCCGGGGTTCATGTGGCCACTGAGCTAGAGTGAGACAAGGGAGTAGGGTGGCTGTGGACACCTCAGTTTCCTCATTGGTGAAAATGGGGTTCATTACGTCTACCTCACTGGAGTCTGCTGAGGGCCAAGTCAGGCACCGTGTGTGAAGGGCGTCCTTCCTCCTGTTCCATCTCCTTCACTTCAGGAGGCCAGGTCTGTGGGGCCCTCCCTGAGTCCCCTCACCCAGCCAACCAGCCTGCTGAAGACAGCAGCTATACGAGGATTCCCAAGGCCCGCTTATGCAGTAGGTGCAGGGAATGAGGGCAAGAGGGTCTGCCAGGTCTTTGTAGCACACCAACTGCACAGACCCCATGGAAGACAAGAAGAGGAACACAAAGCAGAGCACAGGCCCCTGACCTTTTAGCGACCCCACCCACCAGTGAAGCATGGCCTGCTGGGGCCTTCATTGTCCTTAGTTAGATTAGTATCTCCTCTTCCCTCGGGCAGCACCTGGTAAGAGGGTGGCCGCAGAGCCGTGCACTAGCATTACAGGCGAGGGTAAAACCTGAGCAGAGGTATGGAGAGGAGCAGTGAGGCCTGGACCTCAGTGCCCACCCAGAGCTCTGTGTTCTTCTGTGAAGGGTGAGGCCAGTCACCCCCTCATCCACCCTGCTCTGGCCCACTTCCTTGTCTTCGAACTCTCCAGTCACACTCCCTGCGTCTAGCCTTTGCCCTCTGCTGGCACACTTCTCCCCAAGACACTCATTCCTGCAGGTGTTCCTGCTCAGTGTTACCTAGTTGGTGAGGCTTTGCCTGTGCATCATGCAAAAAGACAACACCCTTTCCACCACCCATACACCCTACCATCCCCTCTGCTCCCTCCCATTTCACTTATTACCATTGCAAATATTGCCAACCCATTATATACATTTTTCTTTGTTATTTTTTCTTTGTCCACCACCGTCCTCCACCACCACCCAAAAACCTACAGTCTGAGCTTCGTGGAGGTAGTTCCTCTCTCTGTTGGTTTTGCAGACATTCAAGTATTAGGTGGAATGAATGAGTGGCGGTTGTGGTGAGTCCTGAGTAGATTTAGGATATATTCTGGAAGAAAAGTTGGAAGCACATGGTGACGTTTGAGGCGCCCAGGAGACATTCACATGGAGGTGCCAACCAGCCTAGAGTGTAAAGGTGCAGATTTGGGAGACCAGGGCTTGTCACTGATATTGAAAGCTGGAAAGCTAGAGGGGTTCTCCCAGGAGTGGACTGGAGATGCAGGAGAGCCAGAGGGGCAAGCCCTGAGCTCTGGGACACTCGGCTATTTGAGGAAGAGACAGTAGAGCAGCCAGGGTGGTGGGAGGGAACCCAGAAGCAGAGAGAAGACCCTGTTTGGAGGCAGGAACACTGACCAGGCCCAATGCCGCTGGGTGGCCACGTGGGATGAAGAGGGAGGCAATGATGCACTTGGCCATCCGGGGCTCCAGAGACCATCTCGAGACCTCTCCCTCCAAACCACTGTCCCCACAGGAGTTGGGTGGGGCAGACTCTTGGCTCTTCAGCGCCTTTTGGACATTCCACAGAGTCCATGCACACTGGAGATGTTTGTGTTTGGTTTACTTTTCCAAAGGGTGGGCAGAGAGCAAATGCCTCTTCCCAACCTCGAAGTGTTTGTAAGAATGTGCAAATGTACATGTGAGAGAGAGTTCAAAAAAGAAGCCAAAGGCAGAGGAGTCTGGACTTAGAAAAGGCCCGGCCCAGTGGGCGAAAGGAATGGCGCTGTGGGAAGGCAGTGTTTCCCACACTCAAGGCATTTAAAATGAGGTATGCCACCAGCCCTGCCTTCCAGGCAGGGCGGCGGGAATGTGCTGGAATAACGTTTTAGGGACTGAGCGGAAAAGATATGCATTTGGTTGCTTTAGTAAGTAAGTAGTCCATAAAATGAACTTCTGAGTTCGTACTGAGTGCAGGGCGTGACCTGTTATCAGTGACGTCACTGGAGTCAGGTGTGGGAAGGAACCGAGGAGGAAGGGTCTTCCGTGGGCAGTAGAGACAGGGACTAACTCTTGGAGCTGCTGCAGAAGACCTTGTTTTCAATGTCATCTCTGTTGTAGCACAGCCCTCCCGTGGGGCAGTTTGTTTCTGAGAACTGGCCCATGTGGTGGGGGGTGGAGAGGGGAAGGGGAGCGCAGGAGGGCCTCCTGCAGTTACTCCCAGCACAGACTTGCTTCATTCTGGTTGGCGTCCTTTTGTAGAATCATAGGCCAGCTTTGCAAAGTTACCTCTGCACTATATTCCACAACGTGGGTAGGTTCTGAGGAGTTCGTGTGTCCCTTGCCGAGAAAGCTTTCTAGGGAAAAGGTACTGGAGCAAAGTGCCTTGCTGTGGGGCACAGACAGACCAAACTGACAGTTTGAATAGAAGCCAGCTGCTCTCTGCGGTGGACTGGAGCTTTCAGATCTGGGCAGGGCATGGTTTGGCTAAGACCAGAGTGTCACACTAGAATAGAGTTCGGACTTTATACTCCGTTTAAATCAGGAAACTATAGTCCTCTCAAGAACCAGTTTTTGCAAGCTGCCCTTGCAAAACTCCCAAACCAAAAAAAAAAAAAAAAAGCATGACCAGTTCAACCTTCCAAACCCTGGCTATTCAAAGCAGAGCTGAGGGGCAAAGGGGTGATCTAAATTCTAAAGATATTTCTGTCTCTCTAGCCCTTTTAGTCCTAAATCTGTTGGCCTGAGTTCTTCAGAGGTATGAAATGGGAATAATTACATTTTCAGGAGTCTCTTAGAGGTTTCAGAAGATTTTGAAGCAGAGAACTTTCCTTGGCTGCTGAAAACACTTAAAAATAGGAGGAGTTTTTTACTCTCTGTATCTCTCAAATCAAACAGTTCAGGTATAGGTCAAGAAAATAGCAACAGAAAGATTTGGCTGTTCAGGTGTTGATTTTTCTTCTAGCCATTCTGCCCCCGAAATACACTAACATGTCTTTTAACAATTATAAATGGTTTTTCTTTGGCAATGAACATTTCCACACCCTCGCCCGGTCTCACGGGTCAGGCTTTGCTTGGCCCCAAGTCCAACACTTGGGTTTTACAGAACGGGCTCGTGTGGCTGTTTCTGCAGAGGCCACATGCTCAGCGTACCTTTCAGAGATAATCAGCTTCAGCTTTGTAACTTCATGAACTTGGGGTTGTTTTGTTTCGCTTGTTCCTTCTTTTTTTCCCCTTAGTCCAAGAAAGTCAACAGAACTTGTTTTTAGTAGAACCATCTATTTAACATTACAGTTCCTCATGACCTTTATGATCTTCCACTCTGGGCTGATTTGCCAGGTACCTGAAGAGCAGACGTCACTAAACCAAGTCAGGAACCCAGCCCAGAAAGGCCACCTCTTAAGAAAAAAGGACTTAGCAGGGTCGCACAGTCTCCTTGCTCTGGGAGTGCCGCTGGGAAAAAAAGACAACCAGCCACACTGCTGCATACTTTTCAGATGAAACTTTGGCTTCTTGCCCTGGCTGGGTAGCTGAATTAGTTAGAACATAGTCCTACTATGCCAAGGTTGCAGGTTCGATCCCTGGTCAGGACACATACAAGAAGTAACCAATGAATGTATAAGTAAGTGGAACAGCAAATCAGTCTCTCTCCCCTGCGCCGCGCCCCCACCCCCCCACCCCCGTCTCTGTCTCTCGCTCTCTCTCTTAAAAAAAAATTAATTAAAAAAAAAACTTTGGCTTCCATGCCAGGTCATTCGCTCTGCTCTCTAACTACCTGAGATCTTGCTCTTCCTTGCCATGAGCTTTAAGCAGTATTGCACATAGGGGAGTGAAAGAACATCACACTCTCTAGACACTTAGGGGAGTGGGTTTTAGGGACTAACAGAACTAACTCCTTCCACCCCTATCTTTAGGTTTTTTTTCTTTTTATGGCACATAAAAACCACTCCTCAGCCTTCTGACCCTGGAGTATTTAATCTTTAAAACAGACAATTGACCTCATTTCTCTGAGTGGTTTTAGATCCCAGGGGCCATGTGGTATCATTATCGGGGCCCAGCTGTGTACATATTAGCTGTGTGGGGTGTGGGGGTGTCAGACTCCCAAGGTTACTACTCCCTTTTCTGGCTGTTTATCCTTAGATTATTGGAGTTCTGCTAAAAGGCACACAACAAAACCGTTCTGATTGCCAGATCTCCGCAAAGGTAGAGTGTAGAAAGCCATGAAATCTGTGAAGTTCAGGTGCTTTTGATAGTATCACCTCCAGGAAGCAGGGGACAGCTGGTTGTACAGGGTTACTGCTGAACAAACCTGAGGACGGACATGGACCAGTGGTCAGTGGAGGCCTGACAGGACATGAATTCAGAGCTGCCTTTGTCAGTGTCATTCCTTTCCCTAGAATTTCAGAGTGCATGGACAGCGAGGCCGAGACGGTCATGCAGCTCCGCAATGAGCTGAGAGATAAGGAGATGAAGCTGACGGACATCCGCCTGGAAGCCCTCAGCTCTGCACATCAGCTCGACCAACTCCGAGAGGCCATGAACCGGATGCAGGTGAGAGCCCCAGAGTGCGGGCCAAGCCCAAGGCAGCCTGGGACGGCTGGGCAGATAGGTGGCCGCTCCCCGCCGCACCCCAAGGCCGCATCGGAACCTGGTGGCAGCCCTCTGCTCTCCTCGCCTTTTTCTCTTTACAGGCCCTCCCACATATTACTCAAAGACCAGCCTTTAAAAAGTATAGAGTAACCCTCTTCCTCCTTCACGCAAGACTTTCCGTGGCTCTGCTGTTGCTCCTTGCATGTGTCGCAGTCTCCTTCCCCTGGCCTTCTACAGGATCCTTTCCACTCTGAATCCCCCCCACCCCCCACCCCCACCCAGCAGCTCCACTTTCCAGACTCTTCTCACCGGCCAGCGGGAGCCACTGACTGCGCCCTTTGCGTGCCTGGGAATTTGTTCCCTAGTGTTCCTCTACCAGGTGTCTTTCCGCACGTCTGCAAGGACCCTTCCCTTAAGGCTCAGCCTCATGCTGCTTCCTGTGTGAAGCCTTTCCAAGTCCTGCAGCTGGAAGTTGGTGCCCTCACCTGAATCCCTATAGATCTGTCCTTACAGCCCCTCGCACCCTCTGCCCTAGGTTGAAGGCCTTTGGGTCTGCTGAGCTATTCTTTTGCATTCCTTTCTCTGAATATAGCACCAGTATTCAGCACGTAGTAGGTTCTTTAAAAATACTCATAGAATGAAAGACCTCTGCGGGTTCTTCTGAATGCAACTTCCCTGAGAGCAGCATTTCCCAGAGGAGGTGCCATGAAACTCCCCTTCAGCGAGAGACTCTGCTCACTGTGTGAGCAGCGCACTGCATGAAAGAACGGCTCCTTGATCGGGCACGTTTGGGAAAGGCTGCCCACGGCATGCCCCTCTCAGATTCACAGTGCACAGCAGCTCATGAAGGGGTCTGAGAAGCCCTGCAGTAAAGAAACCTAGCAGACCCAGGGTTGCTCAGTCCACTTAGATAAGACTCTTTTTCACTTGCCACTCAGCCTCTGGGAAGCATTTCTGAGGCCCTTTCAAAGGCCACCTCTCAGAAGGGATGGACCACCCCCCACCAGGCAGGCCTCTCGACCACGGCAAACACTGTTGTGTCTCTCCAATGGTGTGATTTCCTCTGCCTCTGCAGGACTTACTCCCTTCGGGTACTTCCAGAGCCCTCCTCCAGAAAAGGTTTGTTCACATCATGCCCACCCAGTAAAAGAGCTTCTCTCTTCCTCTTCACAGAGTGAAATAGAGAAGCTGAAAGCTGAGAACGACCGGCTAAAGTCGGAGTCTCAGGGCAGTGGCTGCAGCCGGGCGCCCTCCCAGGTGTCCCTCTCTGCCTCCCCGAGGCAGTCCTTGGGCCTCTCCCAGCACAGCCTGAACCTCACTGAGTCCACCAGCCTGGGTGAGTGGCAGCACAGGGCTGGGGGCGGGATAGCGCCTGCGGCTGGTACTCGGTCTCTGAGCCAGCGCCCCAAGATAAGCAGATCAGCAGATCAAATGGGGAGGCAACAGGCATGTGTGCACTTGGGGTGAGTGAGTGTGTGTGGGTGTGTGTCTGCTACCCACATGAGCCCGGCCGTTAGACCGCTGTCATGCTTTGCTCCGGCACCACCAGTTCTCCAGGCCATGAGCTCGGATCCCCTTGCCCACCATGCTGAGTTCTGTTTGATCCATTTTAAGAGGCTGACCTGCAAGCTGAAGGCTGCGTCCAAACCCCACGGCAGCAGGTCCCACTTGGGTCAATGGCTCAGTCAGGGATCCTCCTGCCTTCAGGCTGGATTCCAGGCTGGCGCAGTAATAAGCGAACATGGTCTAGGTTTCCTTTGTAAGCGTATGGAGGCTGACGCTTTGATTTCTTATCCATGACGCTGCTGTTGCTATTTTGGTTGAGTCTCTCCCTCGCACTTCCATTTGGCAAGGTACATCGTCAGCCTGCTGGTTCCTTGGTTGGTCCACCGTTGGTTTCTGTGGTTGCGTTCTCCATTCCGCCCTCTCCCCTGCCCTGCCACCCCTCTCCCCCGCACCCCGACACCTGGTTTGTCCCGCTGCTGCGCCAACAAGCAGCGGGGGTGTCAGGAAGCCGGCTTTGCTTTCCCATGTGCCTAAGGCTGTTGATGTTTTCCATTCGCAGACATGTTGCTGGATGACACTGGTGAATGCTCGGCTCGGAAGGAAGGAGGCAGGCATGTTAAGATAGTTGTCAGCTTTCAGGAGGAAATGAAGTGGAAGGAGGTTAGTTGGACCCCTTTCCCTGCTCTGCCTGTCCCTTCCCCAGGTAGAACGACCTAGCTTAGTGACTTCTTCATCAAATCCTGTCTATGACCTCGGTGCATAAGGCGACTTGGAAATACTACTAACGCTTTCCTTAACTAGCAGTAATCCCCAGCAGCATTTTGACACAGTCAACGTGAGCAACTAGCCCTTCCCTCTCTCCCGTGTTTGGAAAGTCTAACGAAGAGTCGTAAACATGGCCCTACGTTCACTCACACACTGACATCACCCAGCAGTGGCTTCTCCGAAGTTAATGTGTGCCCAAAGCACACATCCAAGGCAGCTAAGCACATTTAGTACACAGGGTTCTGAAATAAGCTCCAGCTGTATCCAGCTGTCAGAGGTGGCCAAGTCCAGGGAGCACACGCTTGGCTAGAAGGGAAGCCGGTGGGACACCCTGTATCACCAAGGCTGGGGAGGGCAATCTGAGTTTTTGAGTAGTTTCTGTTCTCTTGCGGGGTCTCAGGAGGCCATAGCTCCAGCGGGGACTATTTAGAGGTAGACAATGGATATTGAACATCAAAGTTGGTTTTTAGTCATTGATTAAATCCAAATGATGCTGTGAATGGCCATCTCATCTCACCAACAAGTGGGAAAAGGCTTCATCAGTCACTGTGAGGTCCCCTTCAGTTTCTGGTTGTTAGTTCTCAGCATTCCAGCCAACAAGGCTGCCGTAGCATCTGAGAGCGAGGGAGCCCACAGTGCCCACCGAAACAACGTGTCTGCAGCCAGACCCGTCTCGCCAGGGTCCCCACCCTGTGGCTGGCTCTCTAGTCTCACCGAAGGGGCTGGGCCTGGAATTTTAGAGCTGCCAGAAAGATCGGACAAGGAACTCCACTTTCAGAACCTGGCTGGTAGAGCAATGGACCATCGGAGGGGGGAATTCATTCTTACAATAAATGCAGGTGATACCTGTGAGTGTGCTTTATTCTAGTGACTATCACCATGAACAGATAGATCTTACATTTCACAAAAGTTTAGGAGTCACTCTAAAAATGGTATGGTTCTGAATCACCACAGAAGCCAGATGAGGTTGGTTGACCAGATGGTATTATATCTATTATACAATGGAGAAGCCTAAGCCCCGAGCTTCGCTCACTTAAGGTTACAAAGCAAGCTGCACGGCCCCATCATCCCACTGCAGACTGCAACTCTGTTCTCCACTGATTTTTGCCTAACTGCCCGACACTCCCTCCCGGCCCCTGACCACGTGCCTAATTCTATGTCCCTATGAGCATGTCAGATACTGTAAAACCCAACAGAATGGAATGTCCTGTTCACTTCTCTTTAGTCGGTTTAATTAGCCCCACTGTGCAGAGCCCTGTGAGCAGAGATAAAAAAAGATTACTTTTCTGTAAAATTCCCAGAGTTTTATGAGTTTCTCAAGTGAGCGTGTTTTGACTTTAAATGAGAAGAAAAGCAATAAATGTTATTTTTAAAAAGAAAAACAATGGAAGCATCTTCTATCTTGAAGGAGTTTAAGATCTAACAAGAAGACAAACAATGTACATATAAGACAAATACCTAAAACTAAACAACACAGATTATGTCATTATATAAGTTGCATACAGAACCATCTGGCAACGTGAGCTCTCAGCCTGGTGAGTTAATCATTGAAGGCTTCCTGGAAGAGGTGAGTTTGTAAGTGGTTTGGAAAAGACTAAATGGCAGACAGGAGAGGGCAGAGCATTCCAGGTAAGGGCTATGATCTGTGTACTGTATGAGGTATGAACTTAGTGGAAGGTTCTAGATTCCAGAAAGGAGATTCTCACTTCCTATCCCACAGATTGCTGTTTTAGCAGCGGAGCAGAGAAAGTTTTTAAGACTGTTGCATTCAGCCTGAGTTATATCTGGTGTTAAAACAAAGAGTGCTTTTATTCCCCTCTCAAACCATTGGTGATGTTCTGGGGCGATCTAAGTCCTTGCTAAGCTGGGTCAGAAAAGATCCACCTGTTTTTTACCTGCATGCATTTCCTCACCCTTAGGATTCCAGACCACACCTCTTCCTTATTGGCTGCATTGGAGTCAGTGGCAAGACGAAGTGGGATGTGCTCGATGGGGTGGTTAGACGGCTGTTCAAAGTAAGTGTTTCAAGGAGACGGCTGGGACAGTCTACCTGAAGTGGGGGCCTGGGCGGAGGGGGCCTGGGTGGTGTGTGTCCTGGACCCGCAGGCCTGTCCCCTCTCCCACATCCTTACTTTGCTGGGACTTGTGTCCTGGCCCTCAAATGATCAGAAGAAGGATGGTTAAGTACAGATGCCTGATTGGCCAAACTGTTCCCAGCTGCCTGTGGCTGTTGCTGGTGAGCCAGTGAGTCCTTTCTTCGGCATCGAGCCATCATACGAACGTCTGACAGTGAGCGGCTAATGTCCACATTCTGCCTTCACTTTGGAACCACGTGCAGTTGCACCTGCTGTGGAGTGTGTGTTGTGCACCTTGGCTGGGGCTAGAACATCAGGTTGCCATTCTTTATTTCGGGGGGGGTTTGATTCACGTGCCCACGTCCTTGCCAGCACTCCATTCTGTGATTGCTGATATTGACATCTGGCCAGTGGCCAGTGTTGAGGATGTTGGCATAGTTATTTTTGTGTTCATTCTAATCACTTCACTGGAGTGGGGTTTGCCACAGGAGAAATAACTAATGAGTCTGAAGTGAGCCTTGAAATACAAGGTGGCTTGAAGGAAGCTTTCGGTGCACTTCTTTCTATTGTCCTGAAGTGAGTCAACAGCCGTAAGTGCTCATTCATTAGTCATACCCCGTGAGCGGTACTGATGGCCCGCGTTTTCTGCATTCTCCATGACCCCAGTTTATTGTCAGGCCTGTGAGAAAGGTTCTATTGTTTTCCCACTTGAAGGTGAAGAGGGTAAGGCTCAGATCGAGTCACTCACCCCAAAATCAGGAATCTAAAACCAGACCGTGTTGGTCTAGTTGAACTGGCCTGACTTCTGACTTAACTAGTACACTGCGGTCTCTTCCAGCATCTAGATTCAGGTGACTTCACACAGGAAATTCTGTTCTCTGATCAGAGATTGCTCATCGTCTTCACAGGCCACCTGTAGACATGCGGGTAGGCAGGTGATGTTCAGGGCTAAGGGCAGGCCACTCCTGCTGCTCGGGCTGAAACCTTGTCTCTGCTCCTGGGCAGTCGGACCTCCTTGGATGAGAGAGACAGCCGTTGGGGCTGAGAAGAACCTGTGGGTGATCACATGTGAGGAGATGTGAGCATTAAAGGTGGAAGAAGTCTGGTATTGGGGTTCCATCTTGACCTTCGTCTGGCCATCCCATAGCCCACAGCCCATGGGCCTTCATTCCAAGTTCACTGACCTAAAGAGGGAACTCGTTCCAAATTCAGAACACAACTTGGCTGTTTAAAGCTCCGGGAGCTGCTTTTCTTCAGCAGCCGTGGGTTTTGCTCTCCTTGTCACCAGCATGGCCTTTGCTCTGAGCCCAAAGAGGGGCCGGTGCAGGGATCTCTTACCAGAATCACTTTCTCACGAATTTCCCAGCACCATTCACAGGTCCTGATGTCTTCGACACTTCAGCTGAACTCGGGGAAAGCTGCCTAACTTTTCCCTGCTTGGTTGACCCAGACTAAACGTTCACAGTCTTGTTAGGGTTCCTCCCCCACAAAGCCACACCACACACACACACACCACTAACCAAATAAATCTGTATGTTAAGAGGCCTGTGACCGTGAGGCACCTTCCCCGTAGAAGAAAGTCAGCTCTTCCCTCCCCTCATTCCTCAGCTCAATTTCAGCTCAGGCTGCAGCCGAGAAAGAAGAGACGATTGTAAATCACTCAGTGAAAACATGAGTCATGGGCAGACTTCTAGCCACATCGTTGATGGCATCTTCATTTTATTTTTTCCAGGAATACATCATTCACGTCGACCCAGTGAGCCAGCTGGGGCTCAACTCAGACAGTGTTCTGGGCTACAGCATTGGGGAAGTCAAGCGCAGCAACACTTCCGAGACGCCCGAGCTTCTGCCCTGTGGCTACCTGGTGGGAGAGAACACCACCATCTCTGTGACCGTCAAAGGTAACTCGCAGACTGCTGGGGAGGAAGCTTTCAGGAGCTGCGTTTGTTCTTCGACTTGGCTGAGCACGCTGCGGCCACAGTTTTGTTTGTGCCCGTGGGTGTGGGTGGTGGTTTTCTTCTTCCTTCTGTCCTCTGTCCGCAGTTATTCTTACCTCATCAAGTTAGACCCTCTTCAGCATTCTCCACCACCATCGAAAACAAATAATCATTGGGGAAATTATAACAAACCGTCCCGTTAGCCTGATGACTCTGAGATGGCAGGATCTTAACAACCTTATGCAGATAGGCTCCATCGAAGCCAGTGGCTCACCCTTGCCAGCAGGCCCTGGATGGGGCCCCATTCTGCAGATGGGGAACCACGATGCGCTGCAGGCGAGAGAGGCGTCCCTCTGGGCCCCCAGCGAACCCACCGGAGCGCTTGCCCACACGTGGTGCTGCCGGAGCCTCCACGGCCTCCTCACCCAAAGACGCTAAGCCCCAGGCCACAGTGTATTCCGTGGAACTCCAGGCCCACAGAGCATTTTGTGGGAAAAAAGGATTCTGTGGCCAAATAAGTCTGGGAAACTGCATCATTATCCCCATTTGGGTTTGGGGAGCAGCGACGCAGGACTGCACAGATACACTAAAGGCTCTGCCCTTTAATGTCCTAAGTCTTGCCCTGCAGAGGGTTGTTCAATCCAGGCTGACGCAGACCCACTGGACTGTGAACCCCCGTGTCCTGTATTTTGTGAACCACCTAAGGAACTGGCCGGTACACACTGTATGAGGTGCAACCCTCGGGGTGCCCTGTTTCTTACCGCCCTAGAGGGCACTGATCTTGACTGTGGTTTTAACCATGCAGTTGCGGGGCGGCGTCTGATGCCAGTTTTATTTCCCAGTTGGTAGGTTTTCCAAGAGAACTGCGGTCTGGGCTCCAAATCATCAGGAACCCAGATCCCACCTGGTGACGAGCACTGAGGTACTGGTGACGAGCAGTAAGCTGCTGCTTGGACCTCACATGTAGCCTCGCCTCGTTGGCAAGTGACATTCCACAGTTGCAGCCTTAGGCTGCCAATGACAGAGACGTGCCCAGATCTAGGTTTGGTACCCAACACAGCAGGACTCAGGTGCCGCACCAGTGCCTTCGGGACCAAGCCTGCTCCAGCTGCTCTTGTTTCCTGAGCTCCCTTCACATGGAATGGCTGTGGTGGCCCCGATTCATCTTTCTAAGGCTCAGGAACCTATAAAAGTAGGAGATTGTCTGGAAAAGTGTGAGGAAATCCTCAGTGGCAGTTCTGCCCTGTGGTGAATCAAACACGCATCGCAGTTACCGTGACCAAGGAGAGGCTTGGGCTTGGCGAAGTTCTGAGTGCTCACCTGTGGTGGGTGAAGGTGCTGGGTGAGCCATACTCAAGCCACCTGCATTGAGCCCCCATAAGATGAAGCGTCCTATGAGGCAAAGGTGGAAAGCGTGCCAGGCACACCAAAACAGCCCCCCACTACACGCACCCTCTGAGGAAAGCCTTAGGGGTTATAAGCTCATTGTTCCGTCCACGCTGGCGAGCGCACATTGCCGCTTACAGGGGCGCACTGCAAACACGGGGGTAGAAAGAGCGAGCCGTTGCTGAGACCAAACCAGACCTCTGCAGAAACAGTGACAGACTACCGGCCCTGGGGGAACCACGGGGCCTCGTGTGGTTCTGGCTCGCTGCTGCCGGCTCCTCGTCTTGTTTTAACATCTCCAGGGACCAGCCCAAGTTTCTTGTTTTCTGATGCCTGACTCCCCCATGTTCCTGAAGTGCTTGAAATGTACACATTCAAGGCACTAACAGCCACTCACAGGTTTGAGCTGGACGGTTTGTGACTGCAGACAGTTCACTTCAGTGGTACTGGGGGAGGTGAGTGACTTGACCTGCTCTCAAGTGAGTTTGTCTGCAAAACAGTCACTCTAGGACAGGGGGTGCAACAAAAGATCGAAGCAGCAACACACGTTCACAGAGAAACGTTCTGGTGCTTTTCTCCCGATGTTGTTAAGTTTAGACTAGTGACCCTGTGCTCCATACCTTGCATCGAGGTTTGAGCCAGCGTGGTCTGTACTGAGCTCAGTACCAGGAAAGTCTTAGGCCCGTGCCTAGAATGTGAGTCATTTCAGAACATGCGCCATGGTCACTCTGGAACAGTGTCTGTATTTAGGGGTTCTTCTTGGTTGGGGCAGGGTTAGAAACAAGCATATAAATGCATTACAGGGGTCTGTCTGCAGTATTATGTGGAAGATGCAGTTTTTAAAACAATAAATGTTCTTCAGTTTATTTTTTGCCTGCATATACTAGCTTTCTTGAGGTGAGTTTTCAACAGAATTACCTTAGGTTCTTGAACAAGTGACCTTGGATGGGTCTTCTCTTGGGCATGCTGTCAAGAACCTAGCTCTGTTAAAGCCAGCAGCCTGACCAATGGAGTCGCCCCTGGTAGGAAAGGGGAGAGCTGAGTTTCCTCTTGATGTTGCTGAGGCTCAGAGGGAGGCGGCGTTTCTGCCTAGGTGTGCCAGGATTCACATCCCCCATCAAACGGCCCTGCTTTGCATTTGCTTGTTTACCTTCATGGCACGTGCAAGTGTGGGAAGCAGTGGCACTGAGCACACGGGAGAGAACGGGGTGAGGAAGGAACCCCGGGGTGCTTGCAGGCATGGGAGACTGGGGTTTGGTGTAGATGAACTCCATCGGCATGGCAAATCCAGACAGACAAGCAGAGCCCACAGTCTCAGGAACTCTGCAGGGGATAGGCGAGGACCCGGGGCTCGCATATGAAAGTCAGCCGAGCCGGGGCCGGAGCATGCAGTGCTCAGGGGCAGGAAGCAGCGGCAGTGTGCTCACGGCCTCCTGTGTGTGCACCAGGGGCCTCGGGTGAGCGGGCTGCAGTCCCAGCTGGGCAAGCACAGGGCTCGTCATTCTACAGGGCTTCACACGCCTCTGTCTCTCCCACGCAGGGCTCGCAGAAAACAGCCTGGACTCGCTGGTGTTCGAGTCTCTGATCCCCAAGCCCATCCTGCAGCGCTACGTCTCCCTGCTGGTAGAACACCGGCGGATCATTCTCTCCGGCCCCAGCGGCACTGGGAAAACCTACCTGGCCAACCGGCTGTCGGAGTACCTGGTGCTTCGGGAGGGACGGGAGCTGACCGATGGGGTCATTGCCACCTTCAACGTGGACCACAAGTCCAGCAAGGTGAGGAGGAGATCTTTCGGAGGCTGGTGCCCAGCCAGGGGCCACTTTTTGGCCCTTCTAGAACTGTTGGCGAAGCGGCATTTTCTACGTGCTCACCTCGGGGGGCCACCTAAGCCCTGTGAGGAAGGTCAGACGGGGGCTAGCAGAAAGCAAGGCTTTGTCCCAGAACTTCCCACTGAGACATTCCAGCTGTAAGTCGATCTGGTCCATTTCTTACCCACTGAGTCACATGCGCATAGTTCTTTGAGATCACCCCACATGCAACCACTTCAGTTTATCGATAATTTATCATGTGCCTAGAGGTGCTGTTGTTTTTCCCAAAGGAAACCTTTTTTTGGAACATGAATGACAATGGCTCACATTGACAGACTGCTTGCCCCATGGTGGCAGACTGGCCCCTCACAGCCATCCATCATTCAGGGAATAGTCGCTGCTCTCCCCGTTTCACAGAGGAGGAAACTGAGGCCGGGGGCGGGTGGGCACGTGTCTGTGGCCACTCAGATGGAACTGAGAAGCGGACTGGGGCCCCAGTCAAAGCCTGGGACTCCGGGGCCAGCAAGTAGGCTTGACTCTGCTTCACAGGGAGCATCTGATGTCCCAGCTGCTGTCCCAGCTTAGGGTTGGGAAGGGTTTCTCACACCTGTTTGTCGTTCACACAGCAGAGCTCGTGGGTGATGCCCCTGGCTGGCCCGCTGCAAAGGGGCCGGAGGGTCCACGGTGAATTGGGAATGGTGGGGATTCCCAGGGCTCATTCCCAGACGACTGTCTTGTAGGTTGTGTGGGTCGGGCACGGTGACATTCATGAGCTTCCCCAGTGACTCTGATGTGGGGACAGGACTGGAGAGAAGTGGTCCGAGCCCACATCGAGAGCCTGTGTGCGTGTGAGCCGAGGGAGGGCCTTCTCTCCAGGGCCCCTTGGCGGGGCACCTCGTGTCGAGGTGCAGAGGGCAGCTCCCCAACCTCACCCTGGAGATAGTCAGGGAGCGAGTCCCTGGAGCTCTGTCCTTATAAGGCCGAGGCCAAAAACCCAGTTGGAAAGGGGCTAAGAGAAGGAAAATCACTAGTAACTTAAAAAGTTGGGCTTTTCCTGTTGCTCGCAAGCTGCATTTTGACTTACAAGGAAGACCTGTGTTTGTGTGTATGTTGCGGGAGGCGGCTCACATGCCGGAAAGGCTGGTGTGGGGAGCACACTGAACACACCTGAGTCTGAATGCAGCCCCCCTGCTTGTCCTCTGGGCAGCCTGAGGCCAGTTGCCTGACTGGGCGGTGCCTCAGTTTCCCTCTCTGTAAGAGGGAGCTAATCGTAGTGCCCGCCGCAGAGGGTTGCTGGGGGCCACAGAATCTCTGTCAGGTGCTGGAGCTGTGCCAGGTGGGCTCCAGGTCATGCCACCTGTCACGATGATGATGATGTTACGAGGAAGTCACCCTGGGTCCTCTGGCTGGTCCCTAAGTCACCATTTCAGCCTTTTCCTCCACGGCACCACTATTCTTCCTCTTCCTTCCCTGGCGAACAGGCCTGCACCCAGCTGGGCTGCGTTCTGGCCCCAGCGCCTGCCAGCGCCCCACCCGTTCTTCAGCTCAATACAAGCTTATAACCCTTTCAACCAGGCCTCCCCAGGCCCCTGTGCATGCAGACTGTCCCTCGCACTGTTGGCTGGCTGCCTGCCCCAGCGCCGACCAGCGGTACTCACGTGTGTGTGGAGGGGGCTCTGCTCTATGCATTCATCGAGGGCTCCTGTAAAGATGGCAGGCATGCGGAAGAGCACCTTGTATAAGACCTATATAGCTTACACAGGGGCGGATAAGGCACCCGCCCCTGGGAGCTTCCTGGGAGGCTGGCATGATAAGAAATAGGCAAGAAAAAGGACAACACTTACAGAGAAGTGGTGGGGCAGGGACTGAGAAGCAGGCCTGCTTCTCAGTCCTGGGCACCCTCCTCCGTGCTGCGCTCTCGCCCTGGGCTGAAAGTTTCCTGTTACCTAGTGAATGTCAGAAGATGGGACCCAGTCCTTCCTCGCTCCCTGTCCACCCCCAGCCCCCAGGCTGACCCCCTGCAGTGGGCAGGCATGTGCCCCGTGAAAGCCTGTCCCACTACGTTGGCCCGGGCAAGGGGAAGGCTCTGAGCATGTGCATCTTCACTGGGTGCACTCACCCTCTTGTTCTCCCCTGGGCCTTGCAGGAATTGCGCCAGTACCTGTCCAACCTTGCCGACCAGTGCGCCAGCGAGAACAACGCTGCGGACATGCCTCTCGTCATCATCCTGGACAACCTGCACCACGTCAGCTCTCTGGGCGAGATCTTCAACGGGCTGCTCAACTGCAAGGACCATAAATGGTAAAGGCCAGTCCGGGGCCCTGTGGTCCCCAGGAGAGTGGCTGCACATGATGTGTGCTGCTCAGGTGGCTGGACACATATGTGGCTGGGGTTGGTGTGGGGTCCAGGGGGGGCAGCTGGCCATCTGCCCAGACACAGACTCCGCTGGCCCCTGCGAGCGCCCCGTTCTCAAGCTTGGCTTTGACTCACAAAGCCCTCTCTTCCTTCCTGCCCCCACAGCCCTTACATAATTGGCACAATGAACCAGGCTACCTCTTCTACTCCCAACCTGCAGCTTCATCACAACTTCAGGTAAGGTGCCACTTTTTGAGTACCTCTTCTGTGCCAGGCATTGCATTGAGCATTCTTCCCAGCTTAACTCTTACCTCTCACCACAGCCTCACATACTTACATTTCTCATTCTCAGCCTACAAGTGGGGAGACTGAGGCTGGGGGAGTTAAGTGACTCGTGTGAGGTCACCTGGCTGGTCAGTGGAAGAGCTGAGACTGGAACCTGGGTCTCTGCCTCCAAGTCCTGGGGTAGCGGAGTCAGGGAGGCAGCTCTGGGCAGGGGCCGTGGGCATGCTTGCCTGCCCTGCACGTCACCAGTGGCGCGTCTCTCTGGCCCATGTGAACGTGAGCAATGAAAGCTCTTGCCTCTGAATGTCCCCACAGAGCTGAGCCTGTGGGCCTCTGAGTTCCAGCTGCTATGCACCCCTGCGCCACTCGGGGTCCCCCTGCTGGGCTGTGGGAAGGACTGCCCGACTCTGCCATGCCTACGTATATTGCTGGCTTGCCCGCCATTGATAACTGCCCTTTGCCCCCCAGCTGACCCCGCTACTCCTCCCCTCCTGCCAGACCCTTAGCAGAGGCTGAGAAGCCCTGTCCTGGGTGGGACCCCTGGCTCATTTTCACTGGCCGCTCTGCCAGCGTCTCTGAGGGACATCTGTGAAAGTGGGCCTGGATTGTCATGATCCATGATCAGGGAATGTGAGCTCCTCCCGGCCACTGAGACCATGGCTGACCCCACATCCAGGTGGCCTCTGTCACTGCCACGTCATCTCCCGGGGGCTACTGTACCCGCTTCCTAACTGGGAGGCCTGCCCTCATCCTCTGGGCCAGTGGCAGCTGGTGTGAGCATCCTGGGATTCAAATCTGATCATAATCCCCAGGCTTAACATCGTTTAGTGGTTCCCACTGCAGAGTGAAATCCAGACTCCTTGGGTCGGCAGGTCAGGCAGTTACACTGGACCTCTGACAGGTTCCCCAAACACCCCATGCTATTTCTCATGTCCCTGCAACTCCTACAGCAAAGCTCTCCAGCCCCCACCCCACCCCCTGCTCCTGCCTTTCCCCCTGTGTGGCTGCTCCATCCATTCTTCCAGTCTCAGCCCAGGCATCCCCTTCCCTGATTCCCCAGGCTTCACCACGTCTCCATTTGCTTATCTGCTCCCTCCACAAGACTGTGAGATCGTGGGGAACAGACACAAGTGTGTCTCAGTCGTTGTTACAGCTCCACAGCCCAGCACAGGGCCTGACACAAGCACAGGGGCCAGTGAGCTCAGTGGTTAGAGCTCGGCCTTTGGAGCGGCATCATCTTGGTTCTAGTGTTAGCTCTTCTATTAAATTGCCATTTGATCTCCAACAAGTTACATAACCTGTCTGTGCCTTAGCATTTCTGTCTGTAAAATGGGGCTGGGGATGGTATATATGTCAGGGGGTTGTCTTGAGGAGTTAGCATACATGCAGTGTTTCACACAGTGAGTTCTACTTTAGTATTAGCTTATACACCATCCTTCTAGTCCTAAGGTGTTTTGAACCCTGAGGTTAGCACTTGTTTTTATCACCGTCATAGTCACGGAAAAGCATTCCTGACCTCCCCCAGGTGGGTGCTGTGTGCCAACCACACAGAGCCTGTGAAGGGCTTCCTCGGCCGGTTCCTGAGGCGGAAGCTCATGGAGACGGAGATCAGCGGGCGGGTGCGGAACGTGGAGCTGGTAAAGATCATCGACTGGATCCCCAAGGTCTGGCATCACCTCAACCGCTTCCTGGAGGCTCACAGCTCCTCGGACGTCACCATAGGTAGGTGGGAAGCCGGGCAAGAGTGGGTGGGTGGGCTGGCTCGTGGGAGGTCCTGAGCTCCGGCCCCCTCAGATCTGTCCTGAGGCCCTGGCTGGGACAGCACTCCACAGGCATCGGTCACCTGGACTCGGTGCTGTCCATGCGGTTAGAAGAGGAGGCAGAGGGACAGTCCCAGCCCGAGACAGACCCCAGGCCACCTCACGCATGTCCCGGTGCTGTGTCTCTGTCCTCTCACCCCGCCCAGTGTGCTGGGGCTGATCAGCAGTGGGAGCTGCATCCAGCCTGGTTGGATGCAGAAACTGCCCGGTTCAGTGACATGCCCACCCCGAGGCTCCCCCGGGTGAAAGCCGCCCGCCAAGGGGGACTTGCTGTGCTTTGAAAATAGAATAAAATGTTACCAGCTTTCCTCATGCCTAAAGATTTAGAACAGGACAAATGGGTCATTGTTCATCCCTCCACTCTGACATAAGTATTTTAATTGCAGCTTTTTTTGTCCTTGTCCATACATAAATTATGTATGTGGCTGCCATTATAGTATACCGGTATGTTCTTTTATTTTCCACTTCACATTATCTCATGAGCATTCTGTGATGCCATTCCGGTTTTATAATTATTTCTAGAGGCTAAAAAATAATCAAATATGGGTACACCGTCATGCGCTTAACCATTTCTGTTCTCTTGGGCATCCAGTGTTTGCACTTTCAAAGGTTTGGATTAATAACACCACAGTGAACGTCTTTCTCCAGAAAACCTTTCCTCCCTTGGGGGTGAGGTCCTGGACAGAGAGGTCCGAGGGTGGGGCTGTAGAGCCCGAGTGTCCTGCCCTGTGCCCACCGCCGGCAGCTGGAATTTCTGCCGTCGCTCAGAACACCCGGGACCGTGGCTTCTCCTGACCCCACTCCACAGTTCAGCCCTGACTGGCTTTCATTGTGGCCCGCAGGCCCCCGGCTCTTCCTGTCCTGCCCCATCGATGTGGATGGCTCCAGGGTGTGGTTCACCGACCTGTGGAACTACTCAATTATCCCCTATCTCCTGGAAGCCGTCAGAGAAGGACTCCAGGTAAGAATGACCTCCAGCCGGCCTCCTCAACACTGGGGTGGGGGCAGGCCGGGGGAGAGTGTGGAGAGGGACTATTCTAGTGACCGGATGAGCTGACTTCACCTTCTCCTTCAGACTTCTACTGACATGAGGTGACAGCCCCTCACCTGTGAGGCCGTCCGTGTAGCACAGAGTAGGGACACCCTTGGCTGTACATCCTGGCTCTGCCACTTGTTAGCTGTGTGACCCCAGGCAAGCTGCTTAGCCTCTCGGTGCCACAGCGCCCTCATCAATAGAAAAGGAGAATGACAGTGCTCTGCCGCAGAGGAGTGTTGCAGGGCTGAAGTGAACCCTGGCTGCAGCGAGCTCAGTGCAGTGAGAGCAAAGCCGTGGAAGCCAATGTGTGTGGCCCTTCACCATTGACAAAGTGAACGTTGTATCTGCTGTTTGGTTCAGGCCCTGCCTTAGTCCTAGAACTGAGCAACTTTTTTTTATCTCCATTCTTCAAAAGAGAAAAGTAACATCTCAAAAGAGAATAAGTGACTTGCCCAGGATCATAAAAGTAAACCTGGAAGAATCTGGCATTTGCAAAGTCCAGGCCTCCGGCTCGAATCCCAGGTTCTTGGCCCCGCAGCATCAGAAAAGCACAGCTGCTCCACTCCTCCCTCAGCCCAGGGTCAGCTGCAGGAGCCTCGCAGCACTCAGCACTTTCACAGTTTGATTGTCGAGCCCAGAGGCAGCCTGAGGAGCTCTAGGCTCCCGGCACCCACACTGAGTAATAAGCAGGCATCACTCGCAGCCAAATCATCCAGAAACCAGTAGAGCAATGGGTGTCAGGGTTCCTCGGTCCCTCAGTCCTGGGGTGGTGGGAGATGCAGATGCTGTTGCCGGCCTGTGGAGGTCATGGAGGGGTACGAGATGCACACACACACGCGTGTGTGTGGCAGTACACCTCAGTGGCTGTCTCTTCTGTACGTTTTGCCGAGCCTGAGGAATGTTCGACTGCTTTGTCGGTAGCGTGCAGGCAGCACTGATGGTCCTCAGAGGCCTTCAGGACAACGTGAGCTTGGACAGGACAAGAAACCAGAGACATGCCGCCACGTCCTGAGACTCGCTAGTTCAGCGTGAGGCAGGAAGAGTCATCCCTTCCGGGTGCTGCAAGGTGGTTTGAGGAACTATCTTTCAAGAGTGTTGGAGCAACCAGAGGAGGCAGCCAGAGTTAGCATTTTACCAGGTTGCTCCAGAATGAGTCAAACCTATGACTCATCATGCTGATGAACCCGGAGATGCCACAGCGTCTCCTGGTTCCCGGGGAAACCCAGCACGTTCCTTTTGAGACTCTAGCTTTGAAGGAAAGTTTGCTGGTGTTTTTTGAGGGCAAGCTACTCGCCAGGCACTGTGCTGGGGGCCCAATGTGCATGATCTCCTGTGGTTTCCATGACTTGGAACACCCCTTACAGATAAGGAGGCCGAGGCTCACAGCAGCTGCAGCCCGTGCCCGAGTTTACTCACTGAGGTATGATGAGCCAGCATGGGAGCCCCGGCCCAGCTGACACCTCAGTGACTTCTGGTGGCCCTAAGGGAACCCCATAACTGCACCCAGAAATCTCAGGTGGTCCAGGGAAGCAGATACTGTGGTTCAGGTAGTAGAGCTGTACATCAGATTTCATTTGATACAAGGATTCTTCTCTTTTAAAAAGAAGTTTAAAATTCCCTACTCTCCTCGCATCACCTTGATTCCATGCTCACTATGTGTGGAGCACCATGCATGGTCATTTACTCCTCAGCTGGCTCTGCTGGGTGAGTAGAGGGGGCATGAAGGCAGCGCCCTGTGGCTAGGAGGCAAGCCCTTGACCGAGTTTATAAGTTCAGAAGAGGCAGGGGCCCCAGAATGGACTCTGACGGGGCTGCATGTGGGGGTGGGGCCACAGAGAGACCCTGCTGAGATCAGGCCTATCATTGACTCCCAGACAGTCCCTCCGCCAGACCCCATCCCTTCTGGAAGAATTGTGACAGTGCCTCCTAGTGGATACTAGATGCCTTTGCAAGTTTTGACTGCAGTCTTTTCCCCAGAGTATGTGTGGGGTGTGGGGGTCTAGCTGCCTAGAGGCTCTTCCTGAATGTGTGCCTTGGTTCCTTGTGGGTGTTATACACGTGCATCCCACAGAGTCAGAGGCTCACAGTGGCCCAGGTGTTAGTTGCTAATGTGTTGGCTCCCTGCTCCCAACCCAGTGAGGATACCAAGCTCCTCTCTGCTGTGGTGTGCATGAACGTCCTGTTTGTCTGTCTGTCTATCCAGCTGTCTCTGCTGCTGCTTAGAGCTGCCACAGGGCTCTGCACTGGGGCCAAGGAGCTTCACAATATTTCCTTTACTTGCCATGGTACTCACCCAACTATTCATCACCTAAACTTGAACATGGCCAGCGGCAAGTGGCGGGGAGGCTTGTAAAAATATTTCCTGTCCTTGCAGATGGTGTTAGCATTTGCCTGCTGCACATTTGTCTGATGAGTCAGTCCCAGGCCCTGTTCCCCTTTGGAGTTGTCATTGCAAACACTTGCCAAACTGTCTAGTGTACAGAACAACTCGAAGGACCTCGGTCCCCCTGGTGGAGGGGAGGGGAGGCGTGGAGGGCGCTCTATCAAATGTTTGAAAACCACTGGGCCAGATTCTCTCTAAGGACTTGATGACCTCCAGGTTCCAGCCTCTCTTAGCCTGCAACCCTGAGCGTCCCCTCCAGGCTGGAGGATGGAGACAGAAGCAGTAGCTGTCAGGAACAAGGCCTTGGTACAGCCTCACCTGTGTGAAGTCTGGCTCAGGAAGAGCAACCCAGTTCCATGGGGAAGGCCCTCGGAGGGAGACAATTCTAAAAACCACAGGAATGTCCCTAATCTGGAACAGGGGAACAGCCTTCTGCAGTTGTAAATATCCCCAAATGTCCGTGCCGCTTCCCTCCCTGGTGCACACATGTGTGCACATGCACATGCCGCCTTCACATAATCCAGTCTGGATTCAGCACGGGCCCTGGTTAAGGAAGATGTAGCAGCACGCCGGGCCTCAGTGCTAGACGGGCGGGGGCCGGGGGTGGTGCTCGTGTCTGAGAAAGCAGTGAGGTCATAGGAGGCTGTGTCTCTCTGGAGTGGAGGAGGAGGCAGCCGCCACTGAAGAGACGGGCCTGGGCCCATCTGCAGGTTGGGCAGCTTCCCTGACAGGATTCACGCACACCGGTCAGAGGTGGCGTAGGCAGTCGAGAGACGGCTGCAGGGGACAGCCCAGCCCAGGTTGATGTGCCCTTGTCTGGAGTCTCAGGAGAGGTGCAGAGGGGAAAGGCCCAGACGTGGTAGCTGGGGTCCTAGGTCTGAATTCAGGTCTGCTTCATAGCCTTTCCCAACTGGCTCCTCTCGTTAGGCCCCAATTTCCTCATCTGGTACATAATGAGGGAGATTTGAGTGACCCCAGTTCCTTCCAGCTGAGGCGCCTGTGACTTGGAAAGACATGCTTTTGTCAGTAAGAGCTCAGCTCTGTTCTATTGTCAGCACCTGGGCCTCTCTCCCGTCAACAGTAGGAGTCCTGTGAGGGCAGAGGGAGCAGACAGACAGACAGGCCATGGTCCAGGTGTGATCCTACTCTAGAGCCCCCACTGCAGCCGCTGTGGTTCGGGAGTCTTTCGTCTTTGTACCCGCTGGTCCCCGGCAGAAGGGGTGCCCTCCAGAGCCTCAGACAGCACTGCCCAGGGCGGGGGCATCTTGTCCTGGCTGTGGGCGCGTCCTCCGCCCCTGCTCAGACTCCAGTGGTGTGTGGAGCTGGATGGTCTTGGAGTCCCGTTCTGCCTCCTCTCTCCCCTGAACCTGTCCCCGGGTTTGGCAAGCCCAGGTAGTAATCCTTCACCCTGGAGCCACATCATGGTCAGCCGAGATGGCGGGAATGGTGGAGAGAAAGGCAGGGACCACGCCCGGCCCCGCCGCGTCCAGAGGCTCGCCTCGGGCAGTGGGCAGTGGGCAGCCTGGGTCCTTGCTCTTTCTGCAACTGCCAGTAAAAGTCACTAACGTCCTTTTATAATTAAGGCTTAAGTGAAGGAGCGTGGAGGCCTGGTAGCTGTCTTAAAAAATTAAGTAATAATACAGTTTTCTGTGCTTAGTTACTATGGACAATTTTGGAAACTGTCGGGGGGAGAAGCACCAACCACAAGTGACCTCTGCTAACAGTCGGCCATTTTGAAAGTGACCAGGGCCTTTACAGAGGGACTCGGAGAGTCAGACTCTTCAAGAAATGAGGTTTATCAAGACGTGGCATATGTGACCTCTGCCTGTGGCATCAGTGGCCGGCACCTGATCGTGGGGGAGGGGTTCTTCGGGCAGGTGCACGGAGGAGCAGAGGCTGGGGCTGCCTCGTGACCTCACAGCCAGCACCTCCCTCCAGCTCCGTGTGCAGGGACGACGTGTCGGCAGTTGGAAGCCGGCCGTGTGGGACCGCTTGTCCCAGGGGACTTGGCAAACACTTCAAACCCAGTGGTGGGTTTTCCCCCGGAGACCACTGTTCCTGTGGGATCGGCAAGGCTCCGGGTTCAGGGCAACATAGTGAGTCGGTGGCAGAGCCGAGGTGTGAACCCGGGTCAGCCTGACTGTAAAGCCGGCATCCCTGACCCCTGCGTCTTGCTGCCTTCAGTCTCAGCATGTCGAGCTAGATGCATCCCTTGGCTGCCTCCCTTAGGGCGGCTTTCCAGAAGTGGAACTACACTGTCGAGGGAGCATAGTGCTGGGTTGGGGGAGTTTTTCAGAGAGCTGCAAAATCAGGGCTGCAGAAGTGGTCTCGGTCTCCTTCCTAACTCTGCCTTCTCTGCCTCCTTTCAGCTCTATGGAAGGCGGGCGCCCTGGGAGGACCCTGCCAAATGGGTGATGGACACCTATCCCTGGGCGGCCAGCCCACAGCAGCATGAGTGGCCTCCCCTGCTGCAGCTGCGGCCTGAGGATGTCGGCTTCGACGGCTACTCCGTGCCTCGGGAGGGCTCCACGAGCAAGCAGATGCCCCCCAGCGATGCTGAAGGAGACCCGCTGGTGAGTAGTGCTCAGCTCCTGGAACAGCTCGGCCCTCACTGAGCGCTCGCTGTATGTTGGGCATGAAGCAAGGCCTGCTGGGAACACAGGTGACTGAGCCCCAGCCTTGCTTTGGGAGGCTGGGCTCATTCCAAGATTAGGGATGCTTTTGCCAATATTATCTTCCATGGTTTTAGTTTTTCACTGAAATCTTGAACCACTCTGAAGTTGTTTGTGGGAGAAGGTCAGAGATAAGAACTTGATTTTTCCCTCTAAGTGTTGTCCCTACACCACTCCATGCCCTCTGATCTCAGGGCCACCCTTGGCATGGAGTCCTGCTCCCATGACCTCTCCCACTCACCATGGAGCAGAGGCCGAGCTTGGCAAGGGGCAGAGCCCCAGCCAGACGATCAGTGGCACAGGCAGGGAGGGGTTTGCAGGCAGGACGGCCTCCGTGCGGGTCCCATGGCCAGTGAGAAGAGTTCGGCCACCGTCTGAGCCACTTACTTAAGCTGCCATGGCTAAAGGAACAAGGACCCTTTAAGAAGAACCTGGGCCGGTGATGGTGACACTGCAGTTACGTTACAGAAAGTCCTCACTGAACATCCTCAACAGGTTCTGTGTCTTTACATAAAAGCACATGTAGTAAAACCACATATATCAGTTACCATAGGCTAATTGATATAAGTAAGAATTGAGGTCCTGTGGCATGTCATTGGTATTATCACAAAAGGGTGTTATTTATTCGAAGGCCCGTTGTACTTTCTCTCTTTGTCAATATAAGGCATATGCACAGTCACACTGCAAAGTTAGACCTAACTAAGCAAAAGTCCATAAAATTTGGTGGGAGCAAATACAGCAGAACCTGCCAAGGTTAAATACTATTAGCATGCCTTACGTGGATCCCTGAGCTCCCCTGGCAACTCAGCCCAAAGGAAAAGCACATCAGAGACTGTCCCTCACATTGTCTAGTGAAAGAAGACGTTTGTGAGAGATGCAGCAGGATTGAAAGACGGCCAGTCACTGTCTGCTCCCTGCTGACTGACTGCTTTGCTAGATTTAAAAACAGCAGTAGGTGCTCTGGTTGTCCACCTTCCTTGTGACTAATGGCACGGGGCTGTGGTTCTGTCGAGACTTTTTTAACAGGAACAGTATTTTAAATGGACTTATTATTTGTGTTACGATGCACAATCTAATTTGCAGCATTTATCAAACTTTAAAAGACGTTTCTAACGTTAACCACTGCTGACTCCAGAGTCACGGTGCTAATTTCTGTGGGTAGAAGCTCACGAGTCTTAGAGGAAAATAGAATGTGGGCCAGCTGGCGCGTTCCCATACGCTTTTTTCTGGACCAGGAATATTTGTCTCACTGATTGAATACAGAAGGTGTTTAGGTAAACCTGGGACTCTGAGAACGGTTTTGCAGAAGGCTTCTTCCAGCCCCAGGCCTCCAGAAGTGAGCACATCCATCAGCTACCCCTACTTACCACATTGGGTGTTTCTCCCAAGTCTGTGCTCTCTGCCCAGGGCCATCAGTCTCGTGTTACAGTATCTCTCGTGTTCACTAGCCTCTCTGCATCTGAGGCTGATACCTCTGAGAGGGCAGGACTCACCTGTGTGTGTTGCAGACCATGCACTGTGGGTGTACCAGGAACGTGGATGAGTGAATACGTAACCTCGGCTGCAGAGGGTTGGTCTCCGCATTTGTGCCCCACTCGTCCCCTGTTACGGACACCAGGCTCACCCAGGGGGACTGCTGGGCATCCTGAGGGGCAGCTGGCTGGGGGCAGCTGGATTTCCTGCCCAGCAGCACCAAGTCCGGGCCTTAGCTCAGAGAGACCCTATCTTCCTCATTTACTTGCTAGACAAAATATAAAACACATACACACACGATGTATAGTTATAAATATCTCCAAAAAAACAAATAACAACAGAGAATGTCAGGAAAGATTTAAGAGCACTCTTTAAACTCTTTAACATGATGATGATGATGATGACGATGACAGCAGCAGATCACATTTATTGAGCACTTACATTGTGCCAGGCCCCGTTCTCAGGGCCCAATACACATGATGTCATTTCATCCCCTCCTTCAGCCCTAGGGCATAGGGGCCGCTGTTCTCTCCAGTCCAGAGACAACCGGTGGGTCAGATACATGAGGTGCTCTGCCCAAAGACTCCTGAGTCGGGCTCCGGGCCTCTGATTTCTGTGGCTCTGCTTGCTCCTGGCGCTGTCCCTGCCCTCCCTGTGAAGGCCGGGGCAGCGGCTGGCGTACAGATGAGCTTGTGCTTATCGAATGGGGAGCCCCAGGCTCTGGAGGTCAGGGTGCTGATGAACGTGTTCCAGAAGCAGGGAGGCTCATCTGCACCTTTACCGAGGCTCAGATAAGGTGTGCCCTCCCCAGTAAAATTAAGTATCATATTTATCAGGGACTTTCGGTGTTGTTTTCAGTGCTCTGCATATATTAACTCAGTCTGTGCCATAATGTTATAGGGCAGGTACGACTGTTACTCACATTTGTTTGACGAGTGAAGACATTGAGACACAAACAGGTTCAGGAACTTGTCCAAGGTCATATGGCTAGCTTAGTAAGTGGTGCAGCGGGATTTGAACCGTGGAAGCCTGGCCCAGAGCCCATGTTCTTGTCTGCTGTCCCTGTTGTGGGCTGCAGTCCCAAGGTGAGTCTGGAGGAGGAGGCGTGAGCTTGCTAGAGGCCAGGCGTGGGTGGCAAGCCGGACTGGAAGCTGCTCACACTATCCGTTCTTTCCAGATGAACATGCTGATGCGGCTGCAGGAGGCGGCCAACTACTCCAGCCCGCAGAGCTACGACAGCGACTCCAACAGCAACAGCCATCACGATGACATCCTGGACTCGTCCCTGGAGTCCACTCTGTGACGGGGGCAAGGCCATGGAGCCTGCCCCCTCTTCCTCCTCCTCCTGCTCCCCCTCCTGCTCCTTGTCCTCCCCTCCTCCCCTCGCCCCACTCCACCTATGTCACCGTAATGATGCCCTCCTGAGCCAGCCCCTGCTGCAGCCACCGAGCCCCCTCGTCCCCCAGCCTTGACCTGGCTGCAGGCATCCCGGGCCAGCCGCCTTGGGACTGCTTCCTTCCACAGCGAGAGCTGCACTGTCTTCGGTTTTATTTTAAGTATTGTTTTTGCCTTGTTGCCGTGACCTCCCTAAGACACTGAAGATACTTTTCGGGAAAGGATCATCACTGCTGAAACGAAAAGGGTTAAAAATGAAAACCCCATCCGAAGCTCTGAAACCGACTAGCATCCTGCGACCAGCTGCCCAGCGACAGAGAGACTGGAGCAAAGTTGGAAAGGCAGGCGGCACGGCTTCCCCTCCGCGCAGGCCCCGCAGACCGGGTCTGGCCTCTGGCACCCCCATGGCCACGCCGGCCCGCCACGGAGAACTGGTGCTAACTAGGCATTTGCTTTGGTCCCACAACCAACAACAGAGCTCTGACACAGGGAAAAACAACAACTCGTGCTTTCTGTATTGTTTTGTTCTCTAAATGGTGCTCTCCTCGCCCGAGAAATATTTGGCCCGTTTCAGCCCAGCCACACCGTTCAGACCTGGCAGCCTGCAGCCTCTGCCGAGCCCTGGCCGAGTGCCGAAGTGAGGATGCGCCCAGCGGACACGCCCCCGTGCAGGCAGCCGTGTCTGTCTCCTTCCCAGAGAGAAGTGAATCAGGTTTTCCCGCTGCAGACACTGTGTGCAGGGAGAGTTGGTCTGCTTTGGAGAACGGATGACCCCGTTGAGAATGAGATGGAGTTTCTCCCTTTCTGACTCTTTGATTTTGAAGATGTTCCCCCTTCCCCCTTTGGTCAGAATCAATCCTTTGGTGGAAGCGAGAGCCGCAGGAGTTCTGGTTTGGTCCTGCTGAGTTGCGGTTTTCAGTTGTCCATCCTCACCGATCGACACACTTGCCTCCTGCGGCTGGGGCTGTCGCGTCCCGTGAAGTGGACCAAGACCCCCGTCCTCAACACGTGGGTGAGCCGGGATCTTGCCTTTCCTTCTTGTCCTCAAGGCTTTGGAACGCACGTCGACACCCCAAGTGTGCCAGCCCCAACCTCAGGTGGGGTAGGGAGGTCACCTCGCAAAAGACTTGCACTTTTCTCCAAACCAACGTGATGCAACCCAACAAGGAGGTGGCGGCCGCACCCTCCTGGGACCCCCGGCCCCAGCCTCCGTCCAGGCGAGCCTTGCCTGACCTCTTCGGTGCTGACCTTCCCAAAGCGATGCCTTACTGGTTTTGTACGAACCGTGTTCATGTGTGAGTGTCACACCTGTCTGGGGTCTGTTTTTTTTTTTTTTTTTTCCCCCCCGTCAGAGCACACAGGGCTACAAAGTCATCTACTCATCAGGAGAACTCAAGTTGCTGTGACTTCTGTCTCATTCAAAGGACTCATTTGTGTGGGTGTGTGACCATAGGAAAAAGGAAAAAAAAATCCACTTTTTTTAGGTCCTTAGCCGTCTCCAGCTAACTCCCAGGCAAAGCTCCTACAAGTCTGGTCCCCATGGCACTGCTGACACAGCCGTGCTACCCTGTGTCTCTGTGTCTTCAACACACTGGTGTTTTCCTTAAAGAGTGTGGTAAGCCTTTCCGTTGTTTGTTTCTGTTCTACAAGGAGAATCTTGTTTGACCCCAGTGGGGGAATCTCTCTTAAAGATCAGGGGTTTTATTCCATCTTTACATTTCTGTTCCTGAAGGGTTACCTCTGTGTTTTCTTGTTACCACAAGAGCTTGACCTGAAACGGCTCACATTACATCGGATGACACCATGTTCTTCCTCCTCCAAAGGGAAAAGGGAATTTGTCCCACTAACTGGTAAATGGAAAACCTCTCCACACCATCCCTGTTTTTATCTCAGTAGACTCAGACTCTGTTCTGCTAAGCCTTCATCAGTCATCAGGGTGTGTGAGTGTGTCCTGTCCTCTTTTGTTTTCCATGCATCTTTCAAACCACATATGTAGCCCGTGGCCATGGGCCGAACCCTGAGCCTTCTGGTAGACCTGCAGAGTGGTCCTTCTCAGTCTAACTCCCTGCGATGACCTTACACTCATACTGTGAATTTGGGAGGAGGCGAAACTGACTTCTCCCTGTGGGCAGTTTCCCCAGTCACCTTGTGAGTAGACACCTGTCAGTGTTGTTTGAGACTCTTTTTTTTTTTTCTTTTTTAAGCAACACCCTCCCTTTCTCTCCCCTCTCCCACAGACTTCCCTCCCACTGGGTCCAGGCTCAGAACCAAGACCTCTGTCCCTGGTGCTGCCCGACCAGCGAACAGGGATTCCAAGTAGTGTGACCCTTGTGTGATTCACAGCTCAGTGGCCCTCCTCACGTTTCGGGAAGCAGGGTTGTCTGATATGCACATCTCTTCTCTTGGTCATATTTTACTTTGTCAGTGTCACTCACCTTTGAGAAAGTGACTTTGTACTCATTTAGGGCTCTGTCCAAAATGCTTCCATTTTGCCTTTTTCTACAGTTAGGCTAATTTTGAAATGTATGAAATTCTATGCAACATTTATGTTGAGTTACCAATGGAAGCCAGAATTTTCTTCCCAAACTGCCAAGAATTATACAGGCCATAAATGAGGTGGGAATACCTTTTAATTTAAGGTTGGGGGCGGGGTGGGGGCAGGGCAAGGAATGAGATTTGCCTGTACCTTTGTTGTATCTTGGGAACACTTTTTATTTAATTGTGGATGCTCTAAACTTCAGAATTCTGTGTATTCAGATTTGATCATGGCGAATCTACTTCAAAAGGAAAAACTAATCCAACTTTGTGGATATAAACGGAAGGTTTGCTGTTTTGATCTAGTTGTTTGCCAGCGGAGCAGTTTATGAAATATGTTCTATAAGATGTACATTTTTTCATTGTAACATAGAAATTGTAAATAATGGATTAAAGTGCTGCATTTTGCTGAATTTTTTCTAGCCATTTTTAAAGAGAAAACTAGGAATCGAGTATTTTGTGTACGGTATGTTTCCATCCCCCTCCCCTTCCTCCTCGCCCTCCCTCTCTCCCTATTTAATTTTCATTTGTCATGAGGTTTTTGGATCTGCCAATGATCTGCTGGAGATCATGCCCCACGTCATAGAGAATAAAGCTGATGATTGTACCAGTCTTAAATTATTCATGATTCAATAAAATCAATGCTTATTTATTCAGATTCATGGTTTGGCTTTTCTGTGCTAGAGCAAGTCCTGGTCGGTGCCGTTCTTATTTGGATGCAACGAAGGGGCAGCACCCAAAACTTCTGCAAACCCACCTTAGCCACAATGTCATCAGCATCCTACACCCTCTCAGTTCCTCATCCAAGTTACCACTGCTCATGGGGATCTTGTGGAAATTCAGATCTGGTTGAGTAGGTCCAGGGTGGGCCCGAGAGTCAGGCTGCTGGGCGCCACGAGGTGAGGCCAGTGCCCTGGGCCCCAGACCACATGCTGAGGAGCAAGTAGTGTCCCATCCCGCCGACCTGCTAATTGCCAGATGTTCCCCAAATCCCCCAATATAATCTGCAAAATGACCCTGAGGAGGTATATACTCTGATTTCACACTTTACAGGTGAAGCAACCAGGTTCCGAGAAAAAGATGGACTCAGCAAAGAGGTGAGGGTTGGAGTTTCAGCCTGATCTTCCAACCCCAAATCCCACCCCGCTGGGCTGCCTCTAATCTTAGGGGCCAGGTCCACGTGGCAGTTGACATTTATTGCAGAGATGGCGTAGGCAGTGGGAGATGACATCACCTCTCAGCATTCACTTCTGTCAGCAGCAACAGAAATCTTAAAGGTTTGATCTGAAGTGAGGCCTGAGGGTTCCCTGTGAAATGGATCCCACACAGCTGGCTCCACTGCTAATGACGGGAAATATCTAACTCGTCGTAATGCACGGCAATGGCCCAACCAGGGGGAGACAGAGAATCCAGATGTTCAGCACCAGCAGTTTTTAATGCCTGTCAAAAACATGAAGGGGAGCTCGCACGATGGTTTAGCAATGAGAGGTCCTAAATTCCCAAGATTTTCTGTATTGTCTTCTACCCCATAGCTACACAATATTCTGTGATGATATCTAGGAAATATGGTCAGCACATGTAAAGGGCACAACAGGCTACAGGCTAGTGGACTTTAAAAAAAAAAGGAAGACAGGGAACTGTGCATTTAAATATTTGCTGTGTGCAGACACTCAGCTGAATTTCACCCCATTTCACATAATCACAGCACCTCTAAGAGGAGATATCATGTCCATTTTACAGGGGAAACAAGATGACCGATATCAACTAACTTACATGGTAGGATTGGGCTTCTCGGTTTTCCTGATTCTGAAGCTCATGCCCTTTCTGCCAGATGACGCTACTACCGTCACCTTAGGTGGGACGTTGTGGGGAGGCTCACTCGTCCCTTCCGCATTAGCTGTGTAACTAATGACCTCGGACACTTGGCGACTGAAAGCAGCGTGTTCTCAGACCATGGACCAGGAGTCCAGACGTGGCCTAGCTGGGCCCACTAGCTCAGGGTTTCTCACAGGCTGCAATCAACACGTCTTACGTGTATTTTTTTTAAACAGTTTATTTTTTAGATAGGGAAGGGAGGGAGATAGAATCATCAATGTGTGGTTGCTGGGGGTCATGGCCTGCAACCCAGGCATGTACCCTGACTGGGAATCGAACCTGCGACACTTTGGTTCACAGCCTGCACTCAATCCACTGAGCTATGCCAGCCAGGGCTTAACACGCCTTACATATTTACAAGGCACATTTAAAAGCAAAAATTATAGTGTATGAAACACGTTGAATGGTAAAACGTTGAATATTTTTTCCTTCAGATCAGGAGACAGATAAAGGTGCCTGCTCTCATCACTTGAATTCACAGCAGAGACCCTAGTTGGTGAGAAGAAGCAGGAGGGTTCCATTGTGGGGATTGGGAAGCAAGCTATTACACTGTCTTTTCTCACAGACGATGTGTACCTAGGTAATCCAGAAGAATTCACAGATTACTAAAAATAAAAGTTGAATGAATTTGGGTATGATCAGGCCCTGAAAATCAGCTGAACATTGAACATCTATCTGTATGCAGCCAAGAGTTTAAAAAATTAAAAATACTAATTTAAGAGCATCAGAAATATATACTTAGGAATAGCTGCAATGGAAGATTTGCAAGGTCTGGACACAGAACTCCATAAAACAGTGTTGGGAGGAATCAAAGAAGACCCAAAGAAACAGGTGTATTTATGGGTCGGAAGACTCCATGCTATAAAGATGTCAGTTCCTCCCAGACGAACTGTGGGTTTGATGCCATCACAGGCAAACATCCAACATCGTTTTCATGGAATTGACAAGGTGATTTTAATGTGTCCATTGAAACGGAAAAGGTAAAGCACAGCCAATGAAGAAGAACAAGAAGAGAGACTTCAGCCCTGGCCCGGTCTGTAAGTTGACTAGAACATCATCCCAATACGCCAAGGCTGCAGGTTCAATCCCCAGTCAGGGCACATACAAGAATCAACCAATGAATGTGTAAATAAGTGGAACATCACATTGATGCCTCTCTCCCGCCCCCCTCGCTAAAGTCAATAAATTTTTTTAAAAAAATTAAAAAAAGAAGACACATGTCTCCACCAGATAGCAAGACTCACTATGAAGGTCACTAAGACAATGCAGCCTTGTGAGAACTGACAAGTAGTTCAGGAAAATAAAATGTAATTAACACTTCCCAGTAAGCCTCACACATGCTTGCTTGCTTCCCTACGTGGAATTATGGATAACGTCTCTGACCAAAGAACCCGTCTGATGGAGAAGGAAACTCGACAAAGGACACACAACGGTGGAACCCACTGGCTCCTACCAGAGCTGGAGGTTGAGCTTCCTTTTCAAAGACTCAGAAGACACCAGCCGGGGCAGACATTCTGTGAGGGGCTGTGCTCTCCAGGAAACACATGCGTTCACCCACTAGCCGTTACTGGTGTCTGAGTTCCCGATGGTTAGGGTTCAAGAGCAGGAACTGAAAAGCAGAGGCAGGAGTGGTCCCCTCCAGCACCCCACCTGGGGACTCTTGCTTGCCATCCCCACAACTTTATGCTCTAAAACTGGAGGTGCTTGTCCCTGGTGTGTTGGGGGAAGGTGGGGAGAGGTGGGGGGAGGGTCCCTTCTACTTCTCTACCACTGAATTGAAGACTACCCCTGCTGCCAGTCACCTGGGACTGCTCCCACCAGGTAATTGGCCCTGATGAGGAGGAGGAGTGAGGCTGCCATGTGCAAGCAGGGAGAAGGGTGCCTGGAATGTGGAGAACTCTGGGGGACACCTCTTGCTATTCCCATGCCTGGTGACAGCAGTGAATGAGTGTCTGCAGCCCAGCCAGACCAAGGTAAATGGTTGCTGAGACCCATCAGGAATGAAGATCTGGGTCCTCCAGACCCATGATGTGCTGGCTGCTGAGGAGGGAGACACAGACTGGGAGATGGAGAAGGGAGATGCTGAAGAGCAGTTAGGGCCCTAGGACCAGCTACAGCATGGAGATGAGCTTGTTCCACTAACCCTCACATGCTAAGTCTTTTTTTCTGACATCGTGACCAGCCACCACCCCTCCTGGAGCACCAGTAACATGGGGCCCCATGAGCCAAACGCATTGCAAGGCAGGGCTGTGGCTGATACTTTTCATGCCTTGGTCCATAGCTCTGACACGACCTGAGTCTGCAGTGCACAGCTGGCGCCGGCAACCTCCCCCACAAGCACCTCCATCTCTCTGCTTCTCTGCACGAGTCCTCCCTGCAGGGCCACAGCAGCTGGGTGAGCCCACAGGCACAGGGGATGTACTGCCCAGGGACAGCCTGCAGCCAACAAGGTACAGGAGTGAGTGGTCAGTGCCCTGCTGTCCTGTCCTGCAGTGGGACAAGTGGGAGGCACATGCTACAGGGCCCTTAGAGAGTCCCCAGGGGAATTGAGCCCCAGTGGCCCACAGGGGCAGCTCATGATGGAACCCTTCACTGGCTTTCTCCCTCCCTGGTCACATTCTGTCTACTCCCTCACCATGAGTGGTCATGAGGGTGAAGCACACCCCCCTGGAGTGAGGTGGGCCCTGGGTGCCTTGCATCGTGTACCTGAGATGCCTCATCTGCCTCACCTGTTCCCAGCCCCACAGCACAAAGCCGCTGTCAACATGCAGGCCCTTTCTCAGGATCTGCTAAGACAACTCAGCGATCCCACTCTTAAAGTTATTATTATGGATTGAATTGTGCCCCCTAAACAGATAATGTTGGAGTCCTACCTCCCAGTACTTCCAAATGTGACCTTATTTATTTATTCTTTTTAAAAGATTTTACTTATTTATTTTTACAGAGAGGGGAAGGAAGGGAGAAAGAGGAAGAGAGAAACATGAATGTGTGGTTGCCTCTCACTTGCCCCCTACTGGATAACTGGCCCATAACCCAGGCATGTGCCCTGACTGGGAATCGAACCAGTGACCCTTTGGTTCACAGGACAATGACACTCAATCCACTGAGCCACACCAGCCAGGACAATGACCTTATTTAGAAATATGGTCTTCACAGATGTAATTAGCTAAAATGAGGTCATGAGCAGAGTGAACCGTGAATGCCATCTGACTGGGGTCCTTAGGAGAAGATAATGCAGAGAGATGAGGAAAAATTCCATTTGAAGGGGGAGGCAGAGATAGGAGTTGTGTGGCTGCAAGCCTAGGAGCACTGAGGACTGATGATCCTTGCTTCCCCTGGAAGCCAGGAAGAGGCAAGAAAGGATTCTACCCAGAGCCTCACGGGGAGGATGGCCCGGCTGGCACCTCAGACTTCCAGCCTCCAGAGCTGTGAGAGAAGAAATTCCCATTGTTGTACGCCACCCAGTTTATCATACTTTGTTATGGCAGCCCTACCCAACTAAGAGAGTTATACACTCGACAGAAGTGCATAGTAAGGAATAGGTGCACAAGTGTTTGTCGCAGTTGCAACGTTCATTATAACAAAACCTGGAAATGATCCACACTTGCACGGCCAGCAGAATGACAAAACTGTGGCCAGTCAGAGGCGGACAGCAGTGAGACTGTCTGTGGGTGGACGCCGAGGGCATGTTGAGTGAAAGCAGCCAGACACGGAGGGTGTCAGATGCACGGTGCCACGTGTGTAAAGTTCACACTACCACCTCGGGACAAGTGTCTGCACAGG